ACACGCAGGTGTAGTTCCATCGTTCGTGTTGCCGCTAGACGGTGCGGATGTCTGGACATTACTCGCCCGCGCTGGCTAAAATAACGCTCATCGAGAGCGTAATTTAGCCTGACGCCCCAGCCCAGGTGCGCCGACTGACATGTCCGACTAGCCATCTTAATTACCGATCATAAGGTGATCTCGTTTTTTAGCTCATCGCAGCACTCGTCATATCTGGGTCCGGTGTGCGGGCCCTTCCGCGTCCCCTAATTCCGCACATTTACACTCGCCCTTCCGCGCCCTGGCTGGATCTTCGCTTGTGTTGCAGCCTGCCTTATACTACCGTCGGCCTGCCTGCCGTTAATAGTGCCCCAGCTGCTATTGCCCGTCTGCCAGCGTTTCATCTAATCCAATACCACCTCACAGCTTAATTGCCATCCAGGGCGTGCCGGGCGTGGCATATCCCTACCATCCAACGCCCAGCTCCTTGCGCATCCCCCGCGAGCTGCAAATCACCCGGGTCCCCCCTTACCGGCATTTACCAGCTTTTTTTTCTGATCGCAAACCGATAAGCCATGGTTTCGAACAGCACACCCGATACGTCTCCGTAACCGACCGCGCACTGACGACTCACACGACCCTTCACTTTCGATCCCCTCCCTCCATCCCTGCTGTGGCAGAATCATAGATCGACTTCCTTCGTTTATATCTCTGTCTTGTGTTCCCGTACCCGCTGTCTTGTTTATTTTTCTCTCGGCCCCCTATCTTCTAGCTATAGACGAATGTTTCCAACTGCCGGCTTCAACTCAACCCTGCATCGCAATCCAGGGGCTTTTGTGTGACCACGCCAAGCCGGCAAGTAATTAATTGCAGTTACGCCGCGATGGAGATTCAGTTCTCAATCCCTATCATTAACACTGCCGGTCCAAGGCCCAGCCAGTCTAGGTGAGTTGGGCGGTTCAATTTTCTCACATTGGTGGTCGTGTGCTCGCCCTGGCGCAAGACACATCACGTAGCGACAGCGTTGCCTGGAACTAGCAAAAGAAAACTTGAGTATTCTTTATTGATTACTCAACAATACCGGCGTCCTTTCTACCCGTGTAGGTCGGGGGATGCTTCGATGTTGTTGGTGGATGCGCTGTTTCGCCAAGTCAAACCAGAACCCCTCCGTCATCTCGAGTTGGCCCTCGATAGTATTGTTGGAAGACCAGAGTTAACGGGTGACCTTGTCCAGCTTGCCCCGATCGCCTGCCACAGCAACATCGCCGGGCCTCGAGCCCGACTCAAGTGCAGCAAATCGAGGAACAACACATCGGTTTGCTCTCGACACGAGAACTCGACATACCCGGCGAAGTTCTACTCGTGCCCGCACTGGGTGTAGCACATGTAAGTGGTGATATATCCTTCTCCACGGCAGCGGATGTACAGAGGGTCGTTCTATTATGTTGTCCTTGCATGTGTAACGCCCCATCTTGTTTTGCCTACTGTGATTCTCCAAAAGCCCATGATAGAGAAGAGAAATTGCACTTCCTCTTGTCTCTTCCCCTGATAGATTTCAAGCCGCGACTAACCTTTGCTTTACTAGGCAAGTAAGTCACTCCCGATATATATTTCACGACGAAGAGCTATACGCAGTGGATATACATCAACGTCATCTACAGTCCCTTTTCGATTGGAACTAACCCCTGGTAGAAAACGCCATGTGAAATGTGATGAAACGAAGCCCTCGTGCCTTAACTGTATGAAATGGCGAGGCTATTGCGATGGCTATGTCAGCACCACCCCGCAAGAGACTCCGCCAGCCAAGAAGGGGGGGACCTCAGCCAAGTTGATTCATACTAAGAAGGCATCGAAACTGCTTATGGAGCCTGACGTTAACACCGTTCGGTTCGGCAATAGCGATCAAAGGGCCTACTTCGACGAGTGGACGTCTCTATCAGTTACGTTCCTAAGTGGTGGTCTTAATATCACACGGCTCTGGACGTCTACCATGCCTCAATTGACTCTCGAGGAACCTACTCTTCGATATGGTGCTATGGCCATCGGCGCTCTGCGGAAAGCTTACCTGGAGGAAGGCCAGCTTGTCGGAACAACTTTACCCACAGACAACAAACACTATCTCAATGCCATCATCTACTACTGTGAAGCCTTGCGAATCCAATCCAAGGCCAGACCAAGTCGAGAAAACTTGCGAACCGCAATGCTTTCGTCGCTGTTGTTTATCTGCTTCGAGACACAACGGGCCAATATGCCTGCCGCTCTAAAGCATATCACGCATGGCTTTAGTATGTTGAACGAGCTCGCCGCATGCACTGACAAGGCCGACGATCTTGTCAGCATTGCACCAGCACCACCTGCTCTCGTCTCGGAAATCCTCGACTGCTATAAGCCCCTTGAACTGCAATCAAGATCTTTCATGGGGTCGTATAGAAAATTCTTCTTCCCTCCTGGACCTAGACCGGCTGAGCAGCACTCAAGCTCACCGGCCTCTGCAGGCCCTAGTACTAGTCCAATCCAGGGGCAACCGTCTGGGCCTGGTCAGCACCAGCAGCGGCAGTCACCTCCTGCGCAAAGCCCCCTCAGCACTCCGGGAACCCCTTGGCATCAGAGACCTGGATCGAGTACTCCTCAGCAGAACCACTCAACTCTACCTAGTCCTCAAAGCCAACCGAGCCCTCAGAGTCAAGGTGATCCGAAGATGTCACCTCCTCCCCAGAGACCACCCGGCATCATGCCCTTCTCAAAACATTCGCCTTATTTCCGCCCAAAGCAGTCTCATGTCGTTTCTCTAGACGACATGCCACGCGCATTCCAGACTCAGGATGAAGCCCAAAGCTATTGGATTTTGCTCCAGAAGCAAATGGTGGCCTATGTCCCTGTCCTCACATCAACCACGGCACAGCTCAACTTGACGAGAGTGGTCGACGAGCACGAGCTGGAGATGAAGCTGGAGAGCGTGAAGCAGAACCCACGGATTGCCAAATTCGTTGCAGAATCGCGATATTGGCTCCAGAGATGGGCCGAGGCCTTCGACCCGCTCTATATCGCGGCAACCCGAAACAGCCAGAATGATCTGCACACCTATATGCAAGCTGCGAATATGCGGATCGAGTACCTCATACTGTACATTTACACTGCCATCCCACGCTATTCTGGGCTGGTCACGGCTAAAGGCCTGACCCCTCAGTACCATGAGATAAACGTGTTGGCCGAAATGCTGCTGCAGTCTCGCCCTAGCTGCGGCTTCTCGATGGATTCCGGGTGGACATGGCCATTGTTTATAGCATCGTTCGGATGTAGGGATCCGGCGGTACGCAATGAGTCGATACGCATCCTAGGACAATATCCTATTCGAAATGCCTTGCGAGACAGCCGCGTATTTAGAGCCATCGCGATTCGAAACCAACAGGTGGAAGATGAATATGCTGCTATGGGGGGTGACGAGGCTAGCCAATGGCTACGGCTACGGAGAAGGGAAGTGGTTTTCGAGGATTTCGGGACCAACATCATCTTCAGGTCGTCACAAATGGACTACGAGACAGGTGAATGGAAGCTCGTCGAAGAGGCGGCTAATTTTATGGTGCAAGAAGATGGCACGCTTGGCTGGCAGCGGCAACCCCTTTCGGAATCTCTGTCGATCTTAGCAGGGGTCTGTTGAAAGCGAAATTCACGTGAGAGCTGAGGACTTAAACCGCAATCCCGGTGGCATTGGGTAGCTCGAGTCTCGAGTGTATATTTCAAAAACAAAACTCAATTATTACGGATGAGCGTGGGTGAACTGAGGCGCTGGAGTCTTGGATATTGGAAAATACGAGTGTATATCGTTGTTAAAGGATCGTGTATATCTAATTATGCTTGGGCTAATGCATCATCGATGAATGTTAACATTGAGTTGGGTCGAATTGACTCCCTTTTTATGACTTAAACCTGCTTTTCCCTCTCACTTCATAGCACCAAAGTCTGCGCCCTCTGGAGCTTCTTTTCAAGAACTGAGTCTTTTGTCTGAGCTTCTAGTTAACCTGCTAGATGGCTGTCGCCAGTGGAAGAACGTTGCGACCCTACGGGGTGTGGACAAGAATCATCAACAAGAAGAGAAGGTTGGAGCATCAGGAAACGTAAAATGAAGAGAGAATCCTTGAATGAAGGGTGCCGTCGACTTAATTGTATTGCCCATCTCTGGCCATCGTCTTTTTACACATTGATTTCGATGTCATTTAAGGCAGCACCAGCCTACTATTTTAGCGATTACTTCTCTTCGTAGTGCTTCCTCCGTTTCCCTTTTTAACGACTTTCTGATAAGCGTTGTGTCTCAAGTGGGCAGGCCTTTCTTCCATGCCGCGCCCCTCACAAATCATTTTCAACCTCTCTGGACACTCTGCACACCTTGCTTGTACGGGCATCACAAAAATCAGTTAAACCCATACTCGATACGTCCTAACTCATTGCCGCTCGCTCTCTCTCTCTCTCTCTCTCTGATTTTCTTTGTGCTTAGATGTTGAGAACTTCTACCGCAAGAGGTATGAGGATTTCATCTGGGGCTATCCCCAGACGGTGGAGGAACGGTTGCAAGGCATGACATGCTATTATCGAAGCACGTGATGAAAGGGTTCCTCTTAAGGAACTCAATAAACCAGTTAGCCCTGACCTTGGTCATGGCCTTGCTGTCTGTTACACTTGCCGTATCAACTAAGTTTATACAGAACACTTGACAAGACACTGATACATATAACCATACCCATTCGCGAACACGCGATTCCTGAGGGAATACATTTATAAGTCCTATTCTCCACTACCGCTTGATTGATTGTTCCGTTTGGTATTGGAGAAATACTATAAGAAGAGAACGGGGGTTTTCTATGACCCGTCTTGAGAACTAAGACGAAAAGTTTTCAATTATCATCTACCTAATCTAGGTCCCATTCTTGCCCGGCCGCCTGCCGCGTCCTATGATTTCCGTACAATGCGTCCACCGAGTGCTCCGTGAGCCGTAACAGTATGCGATCAGGCCTAAAAGTCTGCACTCAGCCCTTTCTGAGCCCGACTACAGATTTGACCTTATTGATGACTTTCTTAATCCCACGGACAGGGGTCGGTGGAAGCGGCTTGTTCAGGTCTGGAGGCGGTTTCGGGGCGCTATAGCTGGGAGGTGCTGTGCTGGGTGGTCTTGGGCTTGGTGGGTTTGGGGTCGGTGGTCTTGAGTTGGGTGGTCTTGAGCTGGGCGGTTTTGTGCTGGGTGCGTTTGTGCTAGGCGGAGAAACAGGTTTGGGATCCCCGGGGACTGAGTTTGAACTGAGAGGAGAAACAGGCCGTTGGTCGTTGTTGCGTTTTATATTTCTCATGCTTCTTAGGGAGGAGCCCTGGGTGCGGTCGCCCGCATTTCCCTTGCGCTCTGGGCCTCTGTCAGGGCGATGTCCTGAGCGTGATCTCGTCTTCTTAGAATCGGCTCTGGTGGCATATTCCTCAGAGGCAGACTTTCTGGAACCCTTTGCTTTGTGAGCGGCGATCTTTCTGGTAGTAGCATGCTTCTTCTTGATGGCAAGATTCTTGGCACCGAGCTTCCCAGAAGCCTTTTTCGTCCGGGTGGTGGACTCCTTGTGTTTTCTGATACCAGTAGATTTTCGAGGAGACTTGGCCTTGGTGATCGCAGTCTTGGATTTCATAGGGAACTTGGGTTTGGCAATCTCCCCGCTACTCCTTCCTTCGCCTGCCTCACGAAATCGACGATAGACATCCTCGCCACGAGTTTCTAGAAAATGTCCAGCCTCGTCGGTGCTGCGGGAAAGAAGATCGAGGGAAGTGACTGGAGCGGCCGCCGTTCTGCTGACAGCGCTCAGCAACAAAGTGGCGGCAAGAAGGATCTGCTTTGGAAAACTCATGATCAAAAAGTGAATGAGAAAGAAAGGAAGAAAGGAAGAAAAAGAGGCCAGCTCTAGTAGGAGAAAGGAAGAAGACTGAGACCAGCTCAATGGTTTTTTTTGGTGTTTTGGATGAAAAGAAAAGCAGATATCAAGAGTATTCAGGCGCGTGCCTTTTATATATATTTCTGGTGTTGGGTTGTTCGTTCCATGTGTACCGAGGCTATTGGCATTACACAATATTATCCATGATAGCTCCACGTATTTGCAGTGCGTTTTCTAATTTCAGAATCCGGTTGTTGGTGGTTCCCGTGTTGACCATCCGGATGGGCAGGGGGACTGGTGCGGCTGGAGCTGCAAGAGTTGCATCCGTAGCAAGACTGGAACTCCTTCTGTGGTACTCATTGTCTTCTTATTTTAGAAACCAACTCATTCTCTAGTGCGATGAGACCACCAGCCAAGAGGGGGCGGTCTGAAATAGTAGGATAACTGCCCATATCTGACCAACAGCGCACTTGCATACACGCATGTAGACGCATGCTACCAACATGCAGTAATATGACAAACGAAAAAGCAGTGGGGTTACCTATCTTTCGGAACCAACTGCGGGCATGATTCCCCACAGTATGGCGTAAGGAAATCTGCCTACAGGTAGGTAGTACTGAGCTGTTGGTCGTGTTCAATTGCTTCAGCAGTTCACCACACCCGCCACCCTCACATATTTGTCTCTTTCGTCATTTCAGTTGTCTATACTTGCAAAAGAATACGCCAAGGAACCTCCAAGACGCCATGGAGCAGGTCAGTTCGAAGAGCATCTCTCTTCTGAGTCTACCACCCGAGATTCAAACACATATTCTTGCCCACCTTGTTTCTTCCTTTGGAAAGCCATCGATCCACGCAGTGTTACGAACTTGCAAGCGGCTCTATGAGATAGCTCTTCCGCTGTCCGTACATGTTTACCGAAACGCAGCCCCATTTAGCGACGGTGGAGGGGTCTGTTCCCGCGCCCGAAATGTGCAGTTCTTACGGTACATTGTCATTTCGAAACCTGAGCTCGCAAAACACGTCAAGACTATCATTCTGGGTAGGTTCTCTTCAGAAAATAACCCAGCCACGCACATGAAAGATATTGCGCAACCCCAGGACATCATATGTACCAAGGAGGAGCTTTTGGTCTATCAACACGCCATAGAGGATGTATTGGATCATTTGAATTACGACAGAAACAGCAATTGGTCTGGCGAATGGGTGGAGGATCTCAGCAAAGGCTGTTCTGATGCTCAGGTCGCCCTTATCATGCTTATTTGTCCGAATATTCAAACACTTCTTTTTGAACAAGCTACCGAGCCACGGCAATTTATTCGTTTATTGCAAATGGTTGGGTCGTTGAACAGCCTAAAGCCGCCTCATGGAAAGCTCAACATTAGCCAGCCCACCATCCCGCTTTCAAAAGTTGAAGATGTATTCCATGAGGCCACTGATTTTGAAGAGGGGTATGAAATGTTTCACGAACAAGGGCCGGCCATATTTCATCTTCCTCGCCTCCGATTCTACGAGGGCAACCTTATTTATGGGGATATGTTAGCCGCCGAGAAGTTTGATCGCTTACAGCCCGGATCTTCTCCGGTGGAAGAAATTACTCTACGTGCCTCTACCGTTGCTGGACCAGCACTCATGAGTATATTAAAAGCATGCAGAGCACTTAAGAAGTTCGAGTATACCCATAACTCATTTATCAAATATTACAATAGAATGAAGCCGCGCGAGATTCTGGAGGCCCTCTTGCTCCATTCTGAAACATTAGAGGATGTTCGTGTCAATATGCACGATGAATGGGACAAAGGGTGGGAATGGCAGGATCATCCCGAGTGCCTCTACATGGGAACACAACTTTCTCAACTGCACTCGCTCAAGACGCTTACAGTCAGCTCTCAGTGTCTTACTGGAATTCTTCCTGGCCCCCCAGTGAATAATGACTCTTATCAACCCCCGATGCCAATTCAAATTGAAGAAGCTCCGACCCTTATCGAATGTCTTCCTGAAAGCCTGGAATCATTGAAAATCCTTGGATGTGGTGAGGCAATATGGGAAACAGCAACAGAGCTGCTGAGGACGGTTGAGCAGGGAGTTCGGTTCACGAAGCTTACTTATATTTGCTTTCTCTTCAGTGAGTGGCTCATGAAGTCGGAGATGGATTTACATTGTTACTCTCCACATGTCCGCTTGGAAATTGGGTATCAACAACAGAGTTTTTACCTATTTGACCTGGGATACCCTATTGATGAAGAGGGAACGCGTCGGGAACACAACGCAACCTCTCGTATATACGCCCCGGATGTCCGAAAATATTATCTGGGGATTCGTGAGTTGGCTGTGTATCCGGAAAGTGCGTATGAGCCGCAGCCCAACCCGTATGACTTTGAGGAATAAGGGACCAATCTCCAGATAGTATTAAGTCGGCGTCAATCCTTCTAAAGATCCCTTGGGTGGACCATAACGACACTAGAGGTCTACGGTGAAAAAAATATTGTTTGATGTTGTGCATTCTCAGTCAGGTTTCACATCTACACCAAGGTTGCTACATGAGGTATTTACATTCTTTTCGAGTTGATCTGAGAGATCTTGTACTATCACTATTGAATAAATCTGCTTTCTCAGCAAAGTAAACCATAACCATCAGATGCTAGATCCCGCGGGCACAGCAATATCGGCTTTGATGTTAAGAAGCCGTCTTTTTTTATCCTCGTAAGAATATCATTGTAGGTCAATAGTCAGCCTCAAAGGCAAGATGCTATACAGAGGTTGGTGCCTAGCAACAGAATAGATTGGAAACCGACCGATTGTAGACTGAAAGTATTAAGGTTTGTAATCTTGTCGACGTAGCCCCATTTACCCTTATCGAGGCATTCAGCTGTAAAGACACTGCTGAATGTCCTTATAGCAACACCAAGCTCATCAAGTTTCCCACTCAGGTCACATTGACCTTCGACATGCCAACTGAGAATTTCCCGCATGAATATATACAAATCTTTGTGTCCCTCAGTTCATCACAGCGTAATTGGTTTAGTGGTAAAATTCTCCGTTGCCATCCGAGCAGCGTCGGGGAGCCCTGGGTTCGATTCCCAGATTACGCATTTTTGCTCTTTTTACTGCGTTCTCTTTTTTCTCTATTGGCTCAAGAGGAGGAGTAAGTCGATCATGTCTCTCTTCCTTCCCTTTTTGGACGAGGTGTGGCATACACCAAGACAGCTTACGTGTCTGTCTAGGGATGACTTTTCGCTCCCAGTATCGTGATATCAAGATAGTACAGCTCTCTGTTAATCACGCAGGACATAGCCCCCTTCGTATTTAGGAACAAAACAAAAAGCCATCGTGAAGTGAGCTCCATACGAGCAGCTTGGCTGGGATAAACCCTGCACGGTGGGAAAAGGCGGCGCCATGATGTCAAAGTGATCAGCACGGGGTGGGGCAGGATGAGGAATGCTGGATCAGCGATCTGGTTTCGCGAAGCGCGCGGAGTGGGTCTTGCTGTTTCAAATTCAATTCGAAGCTACAGCTGCGGTTTACTAGAGACGTTTTTATGGTATGTAATGACAGGTGCGTGGTTGTGCATCGACCCGAAACTTGGAGATGGGCACTGCATAGGGGGACTAGTATCGGCGGTTGGGACCATTGTACCTCTTGCGGTATCGATTGAGTGCCATGATACTGTGCAAATGAGTGCCGTCCGACTGATCAAGACCGGTGGAACTTTGCCGTGTTAATTGCTGCACCCTACCTAGGGAAGGTGAGGATTCCCTCCTCACTAAACTTGGGATATATAGAAATTCACATTTGAGTAGACCAAGACCAACCAATGGCGGGAAAGGGATTAATGCATGTAGCCGAGATTAGAACCTCGTCTTTGCATGCGTTTGCCTGGGGCTAACAGCGAAATGACTGCTTGATTGGCTTGTGGCCTCTTGCAGGGAGCACACTGTATGACGGTGTACGAGGAGACAACGTGCAGTCGAAATTGCCTGACCTGATGATTCATTAGCAGAGAAAACACAGATGGAATAGTGCCCGGGCTGGATTGTACGTATCTGGTTGTCGAGACGTTGGACTACGCAAGTGGGGAGCGCGATCTTCGTCTCTCTGCCTGCCGTTAAACTTACAAGAACTTGGTGGGTGGCCGTGTACGTAAAATCAACGCCCCTCCATAATAGGCGAGAGGTAATATTAACGGAACGCAGACCTGTCCCTGTGTACTGAAGGTACCTTAGGTATTAGTCGTGGGATCCATAGGATATGGCTTTTTAATTTGAACAACCAAAAAATATGATGATGACTCAACGGATCAAGTAGTAGAGTGTAAGTGCTGATATTATCTTTCAACAAGATGAATTCTTTCCAGGCTAAGTCAGAGGGCCCTTATTAGGTAGTCAATATCAAGCATCAGAGACTCTCACCAGCCTCATGCCCGTCTGGGTTTGTAGCGACTTGGTTAATCTGCTCTAACAGTATGGTTTACCATCGTCCTCTTGGATAGAAGAAGATCAGTTGAAACGGAAGCTAAATGTAGTGAGAATAAATGGCGCTATCTAGCTACTGCAACTAGAAGAACATATGGCTTGGGGTTTGGAGTTCCCTCGGGCCTAGTTGCAAGATATCCGACTGATCAGCTTCCCCAGTCGATGCATCTGCTCTCATTTGAATTTATTCATGCAGGTGGTCGAAACTTGATAACCCCGGAAGAGATGCGCTTTGCACCGAGGGGTGAGATGATGATGCACGAGTCTAGAAATGACAAGTTCTGGTGCATGGAATTAGACCTTGAGTGTTCACTTGGCGAGCCCTTGGTTGTGACGCCCGAGAGGATAAAATGCCCTCTTTTTACACCCGGCGTGTTCACAAGTTAATAACGACTACCAGTAGAAGTTAGAATTCGTGCGTTTCTGTGTGGCAACTAAGAGTTACCGTCCGTCAAAAGAATCCACGATGTGGTTGGCTGGAGCTTCCTGCAATGGCTGGTCCACAACGTCAACATTAGAAAGAGTGGAGCAGGAAGGCCCGTAACCTCAACTGTCTCACCAGCAACAAGAGGAGCGCAGGGAGGAAGCTGCCAACACCACCGCCACTGGGCACATTTCGACCGCTCCAACCCGGCACATTCGCAAGATTGCCCTCTGAGAACGAGCAGAGCGGGAAAATGAACCATGCTGTGGCCGACGGTGTTTTCGGTCGTTCAAGAGAGGCAAAATCCACGGACCGCTCGTATTGATGATCCACATGACTCTGGCAAAGGAGGGTGGGCCGGCACTAGCCTTTCCCCAGTTCAAAATCCCATGGATGCTTCTTCCATGGATCATTTAAGGATGGATGGTTGTTTGGAAGGCCCTAAAAATGGGGCCAATGGCGCCAATGTCCTGAGATGGAGAGAGGTGCCGAAACAGTCGGCCGAGAATCATAGAGAGTGTTCAAGCGATGCCCCATGCCTGCAGTTGGTCGAGCTTGGGTTCTAGGACGAAGGCGCATCTTACGCATTCGAGAATCCTGCAGGCACCTCAGCCGGTAGAGGGAATCAATATTCTTATTCATCACAGTCACTCAGTCAGCATGTCTTACGAGCTGCACCCTCAGCTGGCTGTTGCTCGCGTCCCAGCCGCGAAAGCTAATGGTAACTCAGCCGCGCAGCCTCCAGCTAAACAACGCACCAGCATCGTCTAGCACCGAATGACGACAAACGGGTAACTGCTGGCGCTGAGTGCAATTTATACGAAGTTGCTGGGCTGTGACCAAGACCTGCCTATGAGGACAATAGCAGCTCCATGCTAGGATTTAGTACCTGCTCTAGGAAGGTATTGGTATATTGAATTCTCCGTACTATGATGTATCACTCAGCTCTCTGTGGGGCAAAGCACAGCCCCAGTACCTGAGTCTGGGCGTCGGACCCCGCACGCTCGAGGTATTGCACTGGAGGCCGCTACAGCCGAGTACATGAGTAAATTAGCCAGCAGGTTAAGCAGGTACAGGGCTGACAGGGGCAACCAGACCAAACCCCACCCAGCCCCTTGAGGCTAGGAATAAGCCTGGAGTCTCTGGGCAAATTACTGTAGAAACGGGAGGGCCAGACGCCGAAACAAGTATCCGACACACTGCTCCTGGTCACTTCATTCCATCTGCCTCCTCCACCAAACGCTGGCCAGCTTCCTCCGACTGGCACTCATTCGTTTTTTTCTGCTTTATGACAAGTTTTTGCAGCGTTCGGGGGACTCGACACTCTACCGCCCTGTTTCTATTGCCTAGCGAGGATTACTCGTAGCGTGCGACAGCCTGTCCTGCATCCAGCGTCATTGCGCATCTGGTTCCCCCAGTCTATTTACAGAGCTGCATGTCAATTCCCAATCACCACCCACAGCCACAACCACGGCACTGCATTCCAAGAAACCAGCAATTCGACCATCGCCTCCAAGTTTTTAGACATCCAACCCCGGGAATCGAATTCTCCCGTTCCTGTGGTCCGCTCCCTTCCTGGCGAGATCCAGACTACGGCCCGCCGCCAATTCCCGATTCGGTCATTGTCTAGGTTTTGTCGTGTCATCTGCGAATGCCTAGAAGCAACTTTCACGTTCTGTAAACCGCCATATCGTTATCACAGGATAGAGACCATTGCGTCTGTTTGAAGAAAGTACCCGGTCGATTGTCTAGAGCGTTGTGCGACCGTTTGCTCGCTCGCAACCTTACTGACCTCGCCAAGAGGCGCCATTTCCCTCGCCTAGAAGACACATTCTGCGGATTCTAGTCCCTCGTCTCGGCTTTTTGGCGTCTCTTTTAATATGAGCTATTCACACGGCTATCCCGCCGAGAGAGAGCCTCTCGGTGGTCCATCCACCTATCACAACGACCCGCGGGGTCCCTTTGGCGACCAGTCGCCCTACCGAGACGCAAGCCCACGGCCATATCAGAACGATGGGCCTCCTCCGCCGCCGCCAGAGCATGGCCGAAATCTATACGAAGATTCATCGTACCACATGTCGAACAGCCAAGTTCCATTGCCGCCTTCTCGGTCAGCACATGCAGGCCACAATCCCTACAACCAAGGCGGCGGGGGCCACCCGTACGAATACTACGGTACGTCTCTTATATTCGCTCGTGTTGAGCTCTCTATAATCTTCCAACAAGTCAATACTGATCTTCTCTTTCATGGCAGGCGCTCCCGGGGTTCACGGATCACAGCCATCGAGCGTGCACAGCTTCGCCCCTCCAGATCCCTACGTAGATGATCCATACCAAGGATACTCGAGCTCCACACGAAGTGTCGACCGAAGGCTAGGAGAGGTCAACCCAGACGAGATCGCGGACGACGGCGATGACGCCCTCCACCAGCCCATGCCGAGCAAGCGTAATTCAATGTTAAGCTCAGCACAAACATCAGACCGTGGGCAACGGGGGGCAGCAGTTGCTGCAGGAGCTGCAGGAACTGCAGCAGGTGGCGGCGTGATTGGCGGTCTGCTCTCCTCAAACGCTAACGGTAAGAATTTCCACATGGCCACTGCCATGCAGTTTGTTCTAGTTGCTGACGTGTGAAACCTTTTAGCTACCGGCGGTGGTGGCAGTGGCTACGATCTTGCTGAGGCAGCTCAAGAAAAGCCGGGTCGCTTTAGAGGGAGCGACGGCCACTTTACCAAGAAATGCAGATTAACAATTATTGCCGTCGTTGCCATCTTCATTGCGGGCGCTATTGTCGCCGCAGTTCTCGGCAGTATGGCGGCAAATGGCAGACTTGGTGGTGGTGGTGGTAACAAGAGTGGCAGCAGCAGCGGTAGCGGCGATTCGGCTGACCAGGACACAAACAAGAATGGCGATCTCGACATTAACAGCTCCGAAATCAAGAAGCTGATGAGTAACACTAACCTGCACAAAGTCTTCCCTGGAATGGACTACACCCCCATCAACTCACAGTACCCCGACTGTATGCACAATCCGCCTTCACAGAACAATATTACGAGGGACGTTGCTGTGCTCAGCAAGCTTACAAACAAAATCCGTCTTTACGGTACCGACTGCAACCAAACCCAAATGGTTCTCCACGCCATTGATCGGCTCAACCTCAAGAACGATGTCAAGGTTTGGCTGGGAGTTTGGCAAGACGGCAATAAGACGACCAACGCGCGACAGCTTTCACAGATGTGGGACATTCTGGACGAGTACGGTGGCGACCAGTTCGAGGGGCTGATTGTGGCCAACGAAATTCTCTTCCGCGAGGAAATGGCAATAACAGAGCTTGGAACCTTGCTGTCGGGAGTGCGAACGAACCTGACCAGCCGCAAAATCAACCTGCCCGTGGCGACATCGGATCTCGGTGACGACTGGACACAGGCCCTGGCTGATGAAAGTGATTACATTATGGCCAATATCCATCCATTCTTCTCCGGTACCGCAGCTGAAGACGCTGCCGCATGGACCATGAACTTTTGGAAGACCAGAGACGGGCCCTTGTGGAAGTCGGATAGCAAGAAGAACATCATCTCGGAAACAGGCTGGCCTTCTGGTGGTGGAACCAACTGTGGCGAGGCTACAAGTTGCACCAAGGGATCTGTCGCTGGTGTATCCCAGATGAACCAGTTCATGAAGGACTGGATCTGCCCGGCTCTCAACAATGGAACCCAATATTTCTGGTTCTCGGCATTTGATGAGCCTTGGAAAATCCGCTTCAACGAGAAGGGCAAGGAGTGGGAAGACAAGTGGGGGCTAATGGACGTCAACCGCAATCTCAAGGACGGAATTGAGATTCCTGACTGCGGCGGCAAGACCGTATAAAGATGTCTCTAAATATGCATCGGTGTCTGATACTAGACTTGGCGCAGCTCCATGGGCTTTGGATGGATCACCCCTGACTTTTATTTACTTGTCCACTACGGCATCACGCGGGAGCTGCTCGGAGCTGGTGGCTGGGACGCGTGATAGCAGGGTGACAGTTTAATCACTCCCGCTACATTGCCACTGTCACCACGCATGGCAGTGTGGCTCCCTGTCCTTTCCCCCTTGTTTGCTTTCCATTCGGGAGTTTAGGAGTCTGAAATGATTTCCAGGGTCATGGTTGTTTTTACTCGTTTATACTTGTTTGTTTTGGAGGACTTTGTTTACATGCCGCAAGACAAGAGACGTGATGGAACCAGTCTTTTTTTTTTTCATGATAGACGGGTAGAAAATCTACCGCTATGTGTCGTGAGAAACGCAACCCGGGGAAGGAAAGGAATAGGACATCTTGGCTTAGGGTTGTATATCTAGATATATACATATGTACATGTAGGTAGATGACAGTATATAGTGCCAACATGGCGATGAGAATAACATGAAGCATTTGATCAGGAACCTGCTTCCGCAAGCATGTGATTCATTCCATCCTCATCATCAAGGTTCGATTAGACTCTTGCTAGTTGATTGGCCAAACATTTAGTACCTGGATTAACTCAATCCGGATATGAGGTGATTGTGATGAGATGACGTGCATGATGGAGCTGATTGATACGAGCTATGGGTGATGCAGAGCAGCGAAAAAAGATAAGGGCGAAACAGTGGATTCGGGGGGCTATGCACCTGGATTGAGGTTCAATTAATTGCATATCTAGATCGCCTATGCATATGCGCATTCTCGCGAGCCGTCGCTAGGACTGCCCTGGCGGTCGCTCGGCCGCTCACGAATCAAATCAAATATATCCAATTGATGGTTGATTATGTCGCCACCTCCGCCGCGTCTGCACGCGCGAGGAAAGTTGCGCGGTCGAAAGGATCGTCGAAGCTCAGGTCACCCCTGGGAGCTATCACTCTTTTTTTAGGTGGTGGCAGTGGAATTGATTGATTGCACTGTGCCTGCCTCCTCCGCCTCGGGCACTTGAGTCCATGGATCTGTAGGCGCACAGGCCGCCAGCACGCAGCTGGCGGTGGGTTACACAGAGCCGACCTATTGAGAGAGAGCAGCCCGTCCTGGCCCCCTCATTATGCTACGCTGCGCTGGGCCTAGGCTACTACTTATGTAGTAGCGAGCAGACATGGCAGAGTTGGTGCTCTGGCCACCCGCTATGTCTAGCGCCCAGCGGATTGACATTGATGTTATTCTATTGAATGGATCTCTGCCGTCCTTCCACGGCCGTCGCTCCACCACAACATGCCCAGATGTTTGTGATAGAAAGCCAGAGCATGGCGACCAGGACGAGACAACTAAGCGAGCAAGAGGCCAAAACATGCTCTCCCCATGGCCAGGGTCAAACCGCGGCTGGCCCCCCAAAAAGCCGACCCCAGCCCCCAATCCAGCAACCTCCGAACATCATGTCAGGATTAACTTTCGAAACCTCAAGCCCAAAAGCTCCCCGTGCCCCTGCCGCCAGCCATGGGTAGGGTCTGCCTGGCAGCGAGGGCCCTTGACAAATAGCAGCCTTTTATCCTCCTCGCGGAAACGGGCTGGACGTGATGGCTCGATCTATTCTCCTAATGGGCCCTTTTTTCTCTCTCTTGAAGTCGACCTCGTCCCCACAAAGCTCGCCCGACCTGCGTCTGCCGTGTGGTTTCATATGTAGGTGGCCCAACTGAACGACCGCACTCTGGGGCAGAAATTCCTCGGTCTCTCTCTCCGTGCATCCCAATTCATCGCTGCTGTGGAATGATCACGGGAGGAGATCTCCTGCAGTTCATTTCGCTTTTATCCGTCCTGATCTCTTTCTCCCCAAACAGCTTGGCTGGCTGTACCCGCGAGATTAATTCGATGCAGCTCGGCTAGGGGCTGGTACCCAAAAGGAAATAACCAAGAATCAATCAAAAACCAAATTTGAGCTCCCGATAGCTCTGTCACACCGGAAATTCAGCAGGGTACTTGAAGCTGAGCTGTTGAGCAGCTCGCTCCGCGCCTCACCTCACAATGTCGGTGGTGGTATGGGCCGTCCCGGTCATACTCATCGTCTCGGCCCTCCTGTGCTCCGTCGCCTCGACCGCCTTCGTCTTCCGGCGCATCAAATCGACCGACGACCCCGTCCGCTCGGCCGCCAGCTGGCTCAAGACGTGCTGGGCCATCCTCACCGTCGCGTGGCTCCCCCTCTCGCTCGCCGTCCACTGCCTGAACCTGGACGTCCAAATCTCCAGCAAGCCCGCCGGGACCCACGCCCGGGCCATGGGGTTCCTGCGCCCGCTCAAGAACCTCACGGGCTCCATCACCACGGCGTACATCCTGATGCTGCAGCTGGAGCTCATCCTGGGGCTCAGGCGCGTGGCCGGCTCGCAGTCCGCGCGGGCGGACGACGCCGCGGCCGCCAGGGAGGAGAAGCGGGACGGCAGGAAGAGGCTGGGGGCCTGGGTCGCGCTGATAGTGACGCTGGCGCTGGCGCTGGCTCAGGGGGTCTTGACGCAGATGGGGTCGAGGGCGCAGTGGATGCAGACACAGCATCGCAGCGACTCCCTGGCAGGGTGCGCTCTGCAGATCACCGTGGCGGTGTTGCTGCTGTGCGGCGTGGTGTCGGTGCTTGTGTACGGGATCGTGGTGTCGAGGGCGGCGATGGGACCCGTCGGGAGGGTCATGGGCATGCAGCTGATGGCCGCGAGTCTCTTGGGGGTGGTCAGGCAGGTGTGCATGCTGGTGTATGCGTGCCTGGTGATGACCGGCCTGCTCCGGTACGACGAGGAGCCGGCGCTGGATATCCTGGAGAGCATCACGACCATCTGGACCGTGATCGGGGGGTTGTGGTTGGCGGCGGCCGTGATGGCCAGGAGAGAGGGAGGGCTCTGGAGCGTGCACAACAAGAGTTGCGATACCCCGGTGCCGGGGCATGAGGATCTCGAGGCCGCGAGGTATGCCTGATCAGGGCCATGGCCCGAAAAGAAGAACAAAAAAGTATCTTTCTTTACACTCCTTAGACCTATTTTATATGATACCTTACGCTCCAGCGTTTAATGAGAATATGACTTTTACCCCTTTTAAAATCTCACCGGATGGCATCAAGGCTACAGCTTTGTAACTACAATAAAAGATTTGATGGCACGACTATCTACGAATCACATGATGGCACAGGATCCAGGTCGGGTTTGCTTTTGAATTCGTTCAATTGTTCCAAAGAGAACTACATAAGTACATATAAGCAGGCGTGACAAAACATGTAGACATAGCTGGAGGCATTCGTTTCCTCTGATTCACTTTTCCATCATAACAAGTAGCTTCGAAATAAAAACCATGGCATCTTCAATCGCATTGCTCATTTCTCCATCCCCCTCTCTGCTCAATTGGACCCAGCAAACAACCCCTCCAGCACCAGCTCCCACTTCTGAATCTCCTCCTCGCTCCCCAGCTGCTCCTCAAGCCACGACACGGCCTTGGAGGCAATCATCTCCCACGCCTCCTTCTCATCCGCGAGCTTGATACGGAGGAACACAACGGCGCACACGGTCGACAGGATATCCGGGCTGCGGCTGTCGAGGTCCAGCCCCGACGCCCCCGCGGCGGCCTTGGCCGCATCGCGCCTCACGCCGGTGATCTTCTCCAGCGAGTCGGTCCACCCCCAGTTCCCGGAGAACTCCTGCAGGGAGATGATGTCCTGCAGGTTGTCCCCCGTCAGCTGCTGCCCGCCGCGGCCCTTATCCGCCACTTCCTCATCCCATGTGCTGTCCGCGCGGGGAGATGCCGATGACTTCTTCCTCGAGAAGAGGCCGGCCGATAGTTTTTTAGCCATCGAGTCATCAGGTGTAGTACTAGGGGGCACGGGGCTCCCAGCACTCCCTCCAAAGATGTTACCGGATGGGAGGTACGTGGCACTGGTCAGGGGGGCAGAAACACTGCCGAAGAGAGCCGGGGAACTCGAATTGCTCGATGCGAACGATGCGGGCGCCGCAGGTGGGGGAGGAGGATAAACACCATACGCAGATGGGGCACCAAAGAAAGCCGAATCGGTTGGCGCCGCCTGCGCTTGCGGTGCGGATTGGAACATGGAGGTGAACGGGTTCATTATCCTCGAAGCCCTGGACGGGGCGGGTGCGGGTGGTGGCGGTGGTGGAGGGGCGCCGGGAGCACCGAACAGACCTCCTGTCGGCTGAGATCCGAGCGCGACTCTTGCTCTTTTACTGTGCTCGGGGCTGGAAATGGCCGCGGCGGCAGGCGGAGGCGGAGCTGCCAACATCCTCGCCATTGGACGACCTCCAAACAGACCAGAAGATTTTGGTGGTGGGGGAACACCGAATCCGCCACCCCCTGGCGCAACAACTCCCCAGTTAGAAGCAAATGATAGAGGCATGGCAGATTCCACCGCCGCCTGAACGGACTGGGCCCGAGGTTGGGCCTGGTCGTCGCCTCCTTCGCTGTCAACCGCGACGAAGGAGCACCACTTCCCGCCAACCTGGTAGGTGACGCCCAGACGGACGGCCTCGCGCTCGACCAGGTCGGAGAAGCGGCCGTCGTGCTGCGTCTTGAGGAGCTGGCCGGTCTTGGAGTCCTTGGCGTGGAAGATCCAGCCGCGGCCCTCCTCCAGCTCCTTGACGGCGTTCCGGGCAGCTAGCTGATGGATCATCTCACCGTTCTCGGGGAGCACGGTGATGGGAATTTCTAGCTCGAGGGGGCCGTGGCGCGAGGTGCCCTTGAGCACGACGGACTTGGCCACCTTGTCTGGCGAGGATTCCGATAGAAGGACGTACACGTTTGAGCGGTGGAATGGGAATAAAGGGGGGATCTGGTAGGGTGACTGGAGGTAGGTGGGGTTCTTGATATCTGGGAGGTGGTCGAACTTGCCATCAGCACCAGAGGCATTGGGAGGCTCAGGATCCTCATTGTCTTTGATGCTGTTATCGAATAGTGAGAGGGTGGGCTTCGGGGCCTGGTAAGCGGGTGGTTTCTCGGACTCGGTTGCGGTGGCGCCAGAGAACGTCAAGCTTTCAATCTTCTCAACCAGCTCAAAGTCCTCATCGTCACCCGCCTTGTCCTCCGGCTTTTGCGAGTACTTGATCTCAAGGCTGTAGTCCGTGATATGGGGGGTCAATGCACCCTTGAGCATCCGCACGACCTTCTTGTCCATCTTCTCGTTGTCGGCCACGGTCTGGGCGAAGCCATTACCGGCTCGGGCAACACCCTCGATAAGAGCGTGACTCACGCCATGGCCGATGCCGAGGGAGAATATGCGGGTTGCGCCCTTGGTGGTCGCCACATGGGCATTGATCAGCTCAAAGAGCCTCTCTTGATCCCAAATCTCACCGTCAGTGAGGAGGAACACTTCCAGGTTCATGTCCTCGTAGCGGCGTTTGAAGGTCTCCTCCACGGGCTGGTACATGTTGGTGCCTCCGAAGTTGGCAGAGAAGGTCTTGACATAGTCGACGGCCTTGTTGAGGCTCTCCTGGCTGTACGCCGCGGACCTGGGCCACAGGAATTCGTAGCTGCTGCCGAAGCTGCAGATATTGAATTTGACACCCACGGGGAGGGACCTGAGGAAGGTGTTGAGTGCCTTGATAAGGTTGGGGATCTGTTGCCCGCCGCCCATGCTGCCGCTTCGATCACAGACGAAGACAATCTCAGGTTTGTCTGCGGGGAGGTTGAACTTGGGAACCAGGGTGGCCATGAGGGCGCGCTGGTTGGGAATGGTGGGATGTGTTTCCAACACCGCGCTCGGGTCGCCTAGCTTAGTTGCGGAAAGCTGAAGGATGAAGTCTTTGTCCATCTCCGCAGATCCTAGCGACAATGTTGCTGATGCCTTTTGGAGTGATGGCTCATCCGTATTGGAGTCTGTCGAGCAAGAACCAATCTGGACGGATATAGGATGTGAGGGAGACTGGACCGTCTTGATCGAGGAACCGACTGGAAGCTGAGCATCAAGAGTGACCGAGACCCCCCCGGTAGCCCGTACGTTGGAAGCCCCATGGGTATCAACGAGTTCTGACGCTGCATATCGAGGCGCAATAAACGTGGGCAGGGTGAAACGCAAGCCGTCAATCTCTGCGTCATGTTTAAGCTCGCCCAAGTAGACGATCTCAACCTTTACCAGGGCACCAGCCGGGACGTTGCCTATTCTCATGGTGAAGACATCAGAGGCATCGAGGGACTGGTCAAGCAGACCGGCTGTCTGGCCCTGGCGGACCGCCTCATCATAGGTCTCACGGGCCTTTTGGCGCTCCTTGACACGACCATGAATAACGCGGTCGTTGACTGTGCAGGTGAAGGAGACGACGGAAACACCGTCATAAAGAGGGAACTCGTATCGAAGCTCTTCCAAATTCCGGTCCTTTAGGGGGTTGACAAAAGTCTGTGTGAGAGATGTGCGTGAGGCGTTGGCGAGGATGAGACTCCGTGCCTCGGTTTTGACAAGGGGGATGTATTGGCGTTGGTGGTGGACGAAGATGAAGCATCCGCACCTATAATGAGCAGCGAATACCATTGTGACGAAGGACGAGGGGTGAGGAGCTAGAGAGAGTATCGATGGTGATGAAGGGGGAATAGACACAGAGAATAAAGCAGGCGATCAAGTTAAGCAGCCAAGATCAGGCGTTTCTGATGCCGCAGCTTGCGTCACACTCTGCAGACCAAAGATCAAACGGATGGGCTGTTCAGCTTCCTAATCGCTGCGTGTCGGCCAAGTGTGGAAGGACAACGGAAAGGTATCACACAGAGTTTCACGACGGTGCAGTGATCAAACGAGATAGACAGATGGATGGACAGATGAGAAGATGCAACTTGGGGATTGTCTGGAAGTGTCTCTTCATATAGGTACTGACTGACAGCTAGGGTCTGTCTACAACTGCGTCCGCGAAGACCAAGGCTGGTTCGGTATGACTGGCCTGATCGTCTGTCCTCAACAACGGGCAACGTGGTCCGGCTCTGATTGACTGTGTCCTTGGCTTAGTTACGCACGCTATTCGCTCTTGGGGTAGCGGTAGTGTAGGCACCAGGCGAGGCTGTCTGCTCAAACTGCCAGATATGCGGATAGGGCAAGCGAGTTCGCGGCGAGGGCGCTGGCTAAATAGCAGTAGGCAGCCGCACTACAGCGGCTCAGCCATGATGAATCACCCGAGTGATTAATCAGCCGCAGCAGCCTAGATTACTGAGCAGCCCTGGCCGGCCAATCGGTAGCCAGCCCTGGCCGTCGATCTAGTCCTGTTCGGGCCTCACGAAACGACTCTCCAGGCCCGCCGCAGTACAAGGCAGACCCGAGCTTGGCGCCAGCCTGGTCCATTACCAATTCCCACGGCCGAGGCCCCCAGGCAGCAATTCGACGTCCTGCCCAGATTGGAAAGTAGCCTTCCGCGGGTACGGCAGGACTCAGAGTTTTCCCCAGGCCCCAGCAATCCCGTTGGCGGTGTATATTACCTCTGGTTATGCGGTTTGCTGCAATGAACCCGGCGCAAGCTTTGAGCACCGCGCTACGTTACGGCTGAATACAGGGGGTAAGGGGGGGGACCCAGCGGGGGCCACTAGCGATGCCACCCTGGACCCTGCTCGCCTGGGAACAGAACCTCGCTGCGTTATCGATACGTAGCCTGATAGCTTGCCGTCGCCACTCGCCATCCGCTGCCCCGTTCTCAACCTCACCCGTGAGAGCAGCGACAAAAACTTGCCAATCTGTCAGACCAACAATTCTAATGAACCAATTTGATGCGCGAACCAATTGCAGAAATAAAATCAAAATCAAAAGCTCTGTTTCCTTATTCGTATGCTCACAGTTGTGTAAAAATCCAGATAGCCTCCCATATCTTCCGTGTAGTGATCCCCAGACAAACATAATGGCAAGGTGCCAAGCTTAGCCGAGCTCCCTGAAATTAATAAGGAGAGTGAAGAGGAAAAAATAAAAAGAAAGTTCCAAACAATAGAAGCTCGTTATCATAACCGTAAAACTCCATTTTCGCGTTCACAGGCCGTTAAAGAAATTGTGTTGCCGCCGCCCAGCTAGATTTAGCATTTTCCCACTAGCCGATAGTCCATCCTCCCCCTCATTTCGCCCAGTAAACCCTGTGATGAGAAAAAAGCAAAGAAACATGAGGAACGGGAAGAGGTCCGCTCAGAGCCGGCCGAGGCAGCCTCGGGTTCAAACTCATTGAGGGATGGGGGCATTGTTGGCCCACATCCCATTAAATACATTACCTCCGCCGTCGACTCGCTGCTGCTGCTGCTGCTGCTCCTGACGGTACATCATCAGCATCATCTCCAGCCCGGCCACCCTGCTGCGCAAGTGGTGGTTCTCCCTGACGAGCACGCCGTTGCTCCTCTCCAAGTGGCCGATGTACTCGGTCGCCTTGCTCAGCACCGTCGCCTTGTTGAGCTTGTGGGCTGGGGGCAGCCCTCCCATGCTCTCCGCCTCGGCGGCCGCCATGGCGTCGGCCTCGTCCATCTCGCCCCCGTCCCGCTCGACGCGGTGAGCCATGATCCGGAGTGACGGGACCGCGTCGCGGAGCGCGGCGATCTTGTCGTTCAGGTTGGTTCGATACCGCTTCTCTATCATGTTGTGGGTTGTCTTTCGAGGTGGCGGATGGGGCTGGGGCGAGGTCGAGGACCGCGAGGACAGAGTCGTTGCCGAGCCTGGGGACTTGCGCTTCCGCGGGGAGAAGCGCATATGGCTACCATTCTGGCCCTTCCTGCCCGGGGCCGCTGTCGTCGTCGTGGCAGGTGGCGTCAGGCGATCGGTCACCAGGGAGGGATCCGGCTTCGGCATCTTCAGCTTGTCCTTGGGCCTCTTGCTGGCGCCCCCGTCCTGATTCCGGGGTAGCTCCCTGGGATTTGGCGCCTGCTGCATGTTGCCCGGCGGGGTGGGCTGGAACTGCTCCTGCTTGGGCACGAAGGCAGCGGTTGACGCCTGCGTCTCGAAGAGCGGCTGGGCCGGGGAGTCGTCGTCTTGTCCTAGGAAGCCGCCGCCAAACCTGTCAGTCGCCGACAGCTCGGCCGGGTCTATGTTTGCGTCTCCGTTGAGCATGGAAAGGGGGATGTTGGACAGGTCGACGTCCTCGAACATTTCTCTCTTGGGGAAGGTCTCATCATACGGAGACACGGCGATTTCATCGTCGCCGGCGAGGAACCAGCCCCCGCCATCGCTGAAGCCATCCGTCATTGTCTGATATGGGCTTTCGACACGGAAATAGCAGGGCGACGCCATCCTTGCAATCGTCGGGCCCAAATCTGGCTGTCTCGTGACGGCGGCAGAGTCACCTCTCTAAGTCTGGGTACCTTTTTTGCTGCACGTTGCCTGCCAGTACGCTTCCAGGTAGGAGCTGGAGTGCAAATCTCGCGTTGGGATATCTACTGATCAAAACGCAAAGGATGGGGGATCTAGTCTTCTGGCCGGTCAAGGCCGGGTTGGAATCGCCCCCGAAGTGCCGTTCTTTAAGAGTTTGTGGTGCCGAGGCGCTTAACACTGACTAAATCGGGGATAAGAGGAGGGGTTCGGTCGGCAAAGCACAAGAGGAAAATAGCTGGTATGTGTGTGTGTTGAGTCCAGGTAAGCCATAGGCGCCTCGCATCCGAGACAGTGACGGGGTTACAAATAATACTGGGCTGGAGAGTCGGACAAACTGAACCATGTGGCCAGAAGGAGGGGATGGGGTTTTTTTCGGGTTTTGTCAAGAGGCAGAATGGATGAATGGCCCAGCAGCACTGAGCAAGTATTATTATAACAGATGGAGGAGATTGGAAGAAGATTATTGGAAGCATCTACTCCACCACCAAAGACCGGACTAGACCCATTGAACCCTGCCTTGCACGGGCAGATTGACAGCGATGATGGCAGCGGCACGACGGGCTGTCCTTCCCCTCACCTCCCTCTCGCATGGTATGCAGATGGGAGAGAAGAAGGGTGTACTCTGTACCTATCCTCGAGTCGATCCCATCGATCTGGCCATGTCATATACCAAGCTTGAATAGCTGGTGAGGAACAAGGTGTATGGAGCTAGCCAGGCCCACGACAAGGGCCTAGGACAAGGCAGGGTCACGGCACACGGGGCAGCGAGGCCAACGCCGGGCATCATTGGCCAAAGAGGCAATGAAGGTCTGGCGGGACCCGGTAGCTGCAGATAAGGAGGCAGAAACGTGGACAAAAGCAGAGGGCTAGAGGTGGGGAGAGAGCCCAGCAGGTGGCCGCCAACCCTGCGCAGGACGGTGGAAAGGATGCCCAACCGCTCGAGGAAGCGATTTGCACGCACCTCCAACTCGACGGTTTGTGGACGGGGCTTCGCGTTCACAGTGTGGGTGGGTAAGGTTGTGTACGGCAGGCAAGGCAAGGAGGGGAGGCAGGGAGGGACGGATGGGGGACTGGATAGGCTGGACGAGGAGGCCAAGGGACGGGCGGGCGTTGGGTCAAAGTGACAGCTCAGTGCCTCGGGGTGGATGAATACGCCGCGAAGGCAGTCTGACGCAAAACTCAAAAAGTAAACAGAAAAAACAAATAAATACCTGGCTACATGAATGAAAATTCAGATTGACACGGAAGCGTCACACCCATGCCCCTTCGCCCCCTCCCCCCACCGCCCAGCCGACGCCTCGGTTGATTCATGTTTGAGACTGTGAGGCACACGGCGACTGGATAACTGTTCCTGGAGGCGTAGCTATTATACTGTGAGGAGGAGGGAGCTCCAGCTTCTGCTCAAAGGGTCCAAGTAGGCGAAGATCTACAGCCTGGCCACCCATGGCGATGGAGGCACTAGACTGAGGACTAGTGTACGGCTCTGGCAGGGACCAGCACGAGCACGGACACCACCAGTAGCAGCATCGACTGCGAGTGTGGTGGAGGTACTCGGCCAGGAGAGCGGGTACAGCCAGGTCAAGACCATGTAGCCCCCTTGGCTGTGCCCGAGGTACCTACAGAGAAGGTGAGAACCTGGGGCAGGTTGCAGTACTAAGGCCGAAGCCTGCTGCGGAGGGTCCCATCACAATCTGCCATCTGCAATCTGGGTTGCAGCTTCATCTGGTGCGAGACAACAAGGCCTATCTCGCGACAACCCCTGCACCAACGGCTGCGATCTGCAACCCAACTCACGAACCCCCCCTTGTATCGTGCAGCAATCTGCACTTCGACCAGCACTGAGTCCCACAGTGGCCCGGCCGTAGCAATGCACGGACGAGGGAGCAGCGAATAAGCGAGGCAACGGCGCGCCGCTCAGACCGGGGACAAGACGCAATGCACCGCACATGGCGCACCGTGACCGGGGGGGACCATCCAACGGTCGCTAGCCCTCGCCAATCACCCTCCAGGCCGTGCTTCTGGCTGCTCTCTGACATACATATACTCTGTGAGTACATACATGGCCTGCAAGCTACCTGCATAGTATGCACATTGAGGTGCAGTAGCAACACACATGCTGCGGTAGGGGCATGCGCGTTGCATACATAGCACAGCGGCCCGTGCGACTCGTATCCCTCCTCGCAGCTACTGATGTGCCCGAGACGGTTCCAGCGGGCTCCAGAGAAGCTGAGGAAAAATCTGAAAGTGACCCTGCATCCTTGATCCAACCGGAACCAGAGCCCGGCCAGGTGCCCCCTACCAACCATGGCACGACCACATGTGTTCATTGGTGCGAGTTGTTGTTCCCACTCGTCCCTTTTGGACAGATGGCCTCCCAGAAGGGAAAGGAAGCCGTTGAGGATTTTTGCCTTGGTTTCCAGCCTTCCCCACAGCCCACTATCAAATCTGACTTATATTGAGGCTTATAGCTCTCCTAGTAATATGAACTTGGAGGCAATAATCACAGCTCGCAAGGAAACACAATCACAGCCAATTACGGCCGACCCGACCAAGGTTCAAGGTCTGTGACGAGTCCATAGGCCTGGCTGGAATGTACCGTGCCCATGCGCTGAAATCCCTGATCCCCACTGGCTTCTTGGAATCCCAAGACAAGACGCTCCAAAGTCTCAGACAGTGTGTAAGTCATTCTGTCCTGGACTGAGATTCCCAGTCCTCACTTCCCTCAATCACATCGAGGGAATCTCCAGGACCCAAGACAGACCGCCGGGGTTTAGCAAGCAGTTCGCGGCTAGCCATCCGCGGGGGAGGGGGAAGGTCAAGTCCTCTGTGGCTTGCCTTGGGCGCGTCGTGAGCGGCCATGTCTTTCCCACTGTCCGCTATCTCGCCGCACCGCATTGCCCGCATTGCCCGCATTGCCCGCAAGACCTTGAGCCGTAAGTGGTCACCTCGGAAAATCTATTTTTACCCGAGCCGTCTCCTGTTACGTTACGTAGCTGCATCAATCAGAGCCAAGGCGTGTGAGGGGCAAATAACCTAATTATTTACCTACCACGTTGGGGGTAGTGGAAAGTGGAGGGTGTCCCGCTGAAGTTATCGCCTAAGTACTCCCGTAGTCTGGGAGAGGCTGGCTAAAAAGGAAGTTCGTCGATATCAAGCTCGGGACAAAAGGAGATTAAACAGTCCAGCTGGTAGCGAGTCGGGATTAAATCACAAGTTCCTAGGGATAGCCTGCTTCGCATTCCCCCTCCGCCGTGGAGGAGGAGAAAATTGAGCCGAAGAAGAACATGGCGGTAAGCACGTGAATCCCGAGAGCGCAATCCGGATGGCCGTAAAACATCTTTGGTCCGCTCTGGATGGAGATTTCCTAGCCTAGGACCCTCCCTCATCTCGATCTCCACTGGGGAACTTCCCGCCAAGTTTTGCACCGGGTCTCACTGGTCTCGGGATCGCTTTCATTGCCAACTCATTTCCCCCATGTGTGCCAGGAACTCCTCCACGCCCGCTTCTGCCGAGCGTGGTCCAACAGGATCCCTGCTCGTCAGAAAGTGATAGCGAGGGTTGTCCAATAGTGGATGGGACTTGGGTGGTCCCTGCGGTCTGACAACACCCAACAACAGGAATGGTCAATACGAAGATGATTGACAGGCAGGATGCTTCCTCACACTCCTCCTCGTTCTCACACTCCCTCTTCCCCTCTGCCTCCCTAAATTTCTAGCAGTGATCGGCAGCCCATCAAGATCGCGGGGCGCAGTAGATGAAGGGGGAAGCTGGCCCCTTTGGCGCCCTAGTAGATACCTCTAGTCCGGAAGAGCTGTTTGACAGATCGCGCGATGTAACTGGTGATCGGGCCTAGAAGCCTGCCAGGCAGGCCCCCAAGTTAGATGATGAATGGGGAGAACAACGTCCCCAAAGCAGTGACGCGGCTCCTTCCGTTAAGAGAATCCTTCGTCAGCCCGTTCTAAGTTTGCCAGTGGACTCAGGTTGAATAAATCGCCCGAGAGAATATCGAGATGATCATTGGGGGGGAGTGGCAGGGATTGAAGAACAGTAGCAAGATGTAGATACTACCACCTGAGACGCCCATTCATTCTGCATTGCTGAGACCACCCCTCAACACATGCTGGGTTTCGAAATTGTCGGTGGGCAGGGACCCCAAATCCCGTTGCAGGCAGCTGAATGTGCATGTAACAGAGGATGACAATGAAGTACCTAATCAAAATCACTCACTCTCCCAAAGTTCACAGCCGGCGGGGGCCTTGGCAAACATCTCTATCATTTGTTGCGTTGGAGAGCTTCTCAATGCCACATGAAGAAACTGCAAGCAATCTAACAAGGTACAAAATCCCATTTCTAACATCTCTCACAAACCAACTCGGTTGGCACTAGTAGCCGAACTGATGCGTGTGCTTAGCCTCTAGATGATGCCTTCTGGCATTTCCATGCCTTCGTGTCTCCCGTCCCCAATGCTTTCAACGGATAATCGGATTGGATTCTCCCGGTAAGGGTCTGAGTCCTTGCTGCTCATGCTCAGAGGCGTGTAGCAGCCACTGGGGTTTCTGCTATCCCGACTGTCTGACGTCATGGAAATCGAGCTGTGTTCTGTGTCTCTCTATTCTGCAGCACGCTCGGTTCCTCCACGCCAGAGGCCGTAGAATCCGTCGCAGTTCTTCCACAGCTTGATCGTTCCGTCTTCAGAGCCTGTAGCGTAGAGCTTGCCATCAGGTGAGAAGGCGATGGACCAGATGGGGCCGTGATGTCCTTTGTGGACATCAACCTCCACCTCATCATCATACCGAATGACCTTGGCCCACGTTCCTGGCTCCTCACCCACAACAAGCTTGCGGCCCTTGACGTCCAGAGCAACGCTGGCAATCGTGTAGGGGAGGGTAATTCGCTTCAATTCGGTCATGGCGCGGTCACCGCTCCAAAAGTAGACCGTCTTTCCAGCGGCAACAGCCAAGATAGGCTTTCCCTCTCCGATATCAGTTGGGGAGCTGTAGTCGGGGGAGAGCGATACAATCTCGCAAGACTTGATCTCACCATCGAGAACTTCGTGGTGGATGCAAGAGCGGCTAGGGAGATCTAGCCAGCGCAATGTCTTGTCTGAGGCAGTGACGATAATGTTAGGATCAGATGTCCAGCAGATGAACTTGATGCTTCCCGTGTGGATGCCCTCGGCAATCTCAAAACCTGATGATGCGGGAATGGTCACAGGCTCTCCCGAACCTGACGCAGCCAACTCCGTGAGATCAAAAACGCGCAGCTTCTTCTCCATGCCACCCGTGGCAACAAGATCCGAGTTGTCGGGAGGATAGGCAATAGCACGGACAATGTGATCATGCTGGATCGTGTACAGGTTTTCACCTGTGTGTGTATCCCATATTTTCCTATTTTGGTGTCAGCGTCAGTCGGACAGTTCGTAGGGAATGTGAAGAATCATACGCGGTAAAGTCGGCAGATGCAGTCGCGGCGTTGGATGCATCCGGGCTTAATCTTGCTTGCCACACGGCACCCTTGTGGCCAATGAAGGTTCCAATCCTGAATATTCGTCAGTACGCACAACACACGGCAACTACGTTTGGAGGTCGTACCAGTCACCAGTCAAACCATCCCGGAGCATAGGGTTTCCATCTGTAGTCTGTTAGCCACTAGTCACGTCTAAGTCCATCAGAAGCGGCACACCTTTGCAAGCGGAGATGATATAGTAGGAGGTGTTCTCCTCCTTCTCCAGGTGGGAGAAGCTGATGTGTGGTACAGGCCTGGAGTGCCCATGGCATGTCAAAGGGACATACTGCCTGGGTGTTTCCGTCGCCATGTCGACAAATATGTTTCTTTCGAAAACACGGCTGAACCAATTTGGTGATCAGTATCGAGCTTGGCGATTACGTTGCCAGATCAAGAGACCTCCGGCACTCAGTTGAGGGGCAAACTTTGGGTATCGATTCGTATTCGTCGTTAGATAAGAGGAGAATGAAATCGTAACGGTCGTCAATTTTCGTAATATCGAAAGAGATCGAGTCCGCGCTGCGCAGACGCAACAACAATCTTGCGCAAACCTCACACCGACTATACTTCTGGAGCTGCTCAACACGGTCAAATGTAGCGCACAATCGTGTCCGTAAAACGTAGGAGACTAGGAGGGGAAACAAGATGCAGGGCTGAAATGGGCCGGGGCAGCAGTAGAAAATACTCAAGGAAAGGCGACCTGATCCTCTCCTTGTCGTAGCCTGAGGTGGCGTTCACCAAGTCAGAGCAATCGCAACCGAAGGTGAGTTCGCGACAGTTCCTGCACGTTTCGGGTTTGGTCAAAACTTCTTGAATGCACCTCCGCCAATGAACGGAAGGTGGGGCGGTTTCCGATGGGGCGGAAGGAGCGACCTCGTGCGCCACAGATGAGGGGTAGGTGCCGAAGACTGTGGCGCGACCTACCCTCAGCCACACGCTTAGACCTAATGCCATCATGGTACCTTAGGTGCTAGCAGCCTATCGCTTGTCCATTATCAATCAACGCCTGGAGCTCCATCACCTTCCATCAACATCGGCTCAATTTCAACCTCCTGCTTGTCTCCAGAGACGCCGCCCATTACACGCCTCTGGGGTTCTCCAAGCAAGGGGCTTTCCTTTTTTGTCTTTTGCGCCTCTGTCTTTGCTTGTTCCCCGGCATCATCGCAGTTAAGCAGACAGCCTCGGCGCTTAACCCCACCCCCAACATACACGACGCAAGTAGACGAACTCGAGTGGACAAGATGGCTGGAAGTGATTTCAAGTTGTCGGCTCAACTAGTCGGACACGACTCTGATGTAACTTTAACCTCATTGGGCTCGTTGTCGCTTTGCTAACCCTCCAAAGGTCCGAGATGTGGTCTTCCCTTCTCCAGACCTAGTCATCTCAGCCTCCCGAGACTGTACTGTTCGTGTCTGGCGCCGAACCCAGAACTCCACGCCCCCGTTCGAAGCCTCTCTAATCCGACATGGATCCGAATACATCAACTCATTGGCTTACTTCCCGCCAAGCAAAGAGTATCCCGAAGGCCTCGTTGTTTCCGGCGGGAAAGACCCGGTCATTGAGGTGAAAGCACCAAATCAAGCACACACAGACAACGCCGAGCGCCTTCTCATCGGACACTCGAATAACGTGGGCACCCTTGAGGTTTCCCCCAACGGCACACACCTGATATCTGGCGGATGGGATGGGCAGGCACGAGTCTGGAATCTAGGAAACTGGGACACAGAGTTTCTGTTGGATGGCCATGATAAGTCTGTGCTCAGTGTTCTCGCAATAGACGACAAAACTATTGCCACTGCGTCTGCCGATCAGAACATCCGTATTTTCAATCTTGGGCAAGCCACAGGCGGTGAGGTCAGCCCTCAAGCTACGATCTACACTCCTGAAATCGTCCGAGCGCTCTGTAGGGTACCAGATAACCATCCCAGTGGGGCTCGTATCGCAAGCGCCAGCAATGATGGGATTATCAGACTGTGGAAATTGGATGGCCAAGCCGTTGCCGAGTTGCATGGACACGAGAGCTTCGTCTACTCCCTCGCAGCTCTGCCGAGTGGCGAGCTGGTAAGCGCAGGTGAAGATCGTACTGTGAGGGTGTGGAGGGGGAGTGAGTGTATTCAGACGATAACGCATCCCGCCATATCCGTATGGACCGTTGCAGTAAACCAGGAAACGGGTGATATTGTGACAGGCGCCAGCGATGCCGTGGCACGTGTCTTTACACGAAGCCCTGATCGTGTTGCTGACGCTGCCACACTCAAGGAGTTTGAAGATTCTGTGAAAGGATCTGCTATCCCGCAACAGCAAGTTGGCGGAATCAACAAAGAGAAATTGCCTGGTCCCGAATTCCTGACCACCAAGTCCGGCACTAAAGAAGGCCAAGTGCAGATGATCAAGGAGGACAACGGTTCCGTAACTGCGCATACATGGTCGGCGAGCCAACAGCAGTGGATCAATGTCGGAACTGTGGTGGACGCCGTTGGTAGCAGTGGCAAGAAGGTTGAGTATAAGGGACAGTCATATGACTTTGTCTTTGATGTCGACATTGAGGACGGAAAGCCTGCTTTGAAACTGCCCTATAACCTCTCCGAGAATCCTTATGATAGGGCGACAAAGTTCCTAAATGACAACGAACTCCCGTTGACGTATCTGGACAATGTTGCCAATTTCATCACACAGAATACCCAGGGGGCAACGCTTGGTCCACAGTCGCAGGCTACCGGTCCAGATCCCTATGGCACCGAATCAAGATACCGCCCTGGCGAAGAGGAGAAGCCCAAGGCAATTCCCCAAAAAGAATACCTCAGCATATCCGCTGCTAAATACGAGGGTAAGGAACTTAATTATCACGCGAACGAAATGAAGAATTTGGCTGACTTGTGTACTAGCGATTCTCAACAAAATCATTGCTGTCAACAAAACAATGGTGTCTGCCGGTCGGAAAGATGCGGCGCTAAATCCAGGGGAGGAGGCTATATTCAAGAGTCTCCGAGAGTCCTTGGAGACGTCCAAGCCTCTGCCTCCCAGGGGGCTCGAGCTTGTTGTCCGTGTTGTTACAAAATGGACATACACAGAAAGACTGGCCGGCCTAGACCTGCTTCGCTGTATGGCCAAGTACCCTACTGTAGCACAGTTCTCGGATGGTGAGAATGGATCCATCATTGATCTGGCGATATCGTCGGCTTTGCCTCAGGGCGAAACCCCCAACGAGAATGCGGTGATGATGGGCATCCGTGTGCTGGTTAACATTTTTGGATCCGCTGATGGCCGCAGCATCGCAAGTTCTCAAGCCGACACTGTCCTCTCCTTCCTCGAGCGTGTTGCAGGCATACAAGGGGGCAATGCGATCGGCAAACTCAATCGCAATGTTCTGATTGCAGCATCAACAGCGTCGCTGAACTACGCAGTTCTTGTTGCTCGCGAAAAGCTGCTCACACCAGCCCAGCGTCGACGTCTGCTCAACATTATTGGATCAAACCTCTCTGACCAGTCAGATGCAGAGGTTCTCTATCGGGGTCTCATTTCCCTAGGCACCGTTCTTATCACATCGCCAGGAGCTGCCTCTAACTTGGATGTGGCCGGCTGGGTACAAGGTGCAGTTGACAGGGGCGCCGAAGAGAGACTGAGAGCAGTTGCACAAGAGATCTCGAAAGTGGTACCATAATGAGGCCAGGGATCGGGACTACATGAATCTGATAGCCGCGTGTGACGGTGATGGCGCGACTTTACATGGCTCCCGGCGGCTAGAGTACCGAGAACCTGGGAGGCCGGATAGCAAGGAGCCGAGCAGTCGCTTTATCTGCAGATCACTTGCATGCATATGGAAGGGGCCTAGATGGAATTTTCACATCATATCAACTCTTGGCACGTGCTCTTGGAGTAGCTGAGCCAGAAGCGCAGTCGTATTTCGTAGACCTGGTCAAGAGATGGTGCCTTGTTTTTAGCCAGCACCTCACAAGAAAAAAGAAGAAGAAAAAATACACGAATAATCATAAATTTGCCTTTAGAGCGAGATATTTGACTTTCGTCTTGTAAATCATCAAAAAGTTATGTTTTCATTATAAACTGATGGGGAATATTTGTAGCATATGTAACTTGAACACGAAGGTTCCCCGTAAACTCCGCCAGTCCAGAAAGGCCCTCCCAAGAAATTAAACGCCGTCATTGTCCATGCATTCTTATATACAGATTCCGTAAACCTACTTTGCCGACTTTCGAGGCTTTACTGGCTTCACAGAAGCGCCCACAGCCCAGCGGCGACGACGGTCGAGATCAGGCTGAGGCTGCTCCTCGTCGAGACGGCGTCGTTCTTGACGTCGTCGTATGATTTCCCAGTGACGGGGTTCGTGGTCGCGATTGCGTAGATTTCGGCGAATCCGAGATCAGTCGAGTTGAAGCAGTTTTCCTCGGTGACCTTCTCGATCTTTGGGTCTCCGGGGGCGGCGAACTCGATGTCAACGCACTGTTCAGAACAAAAAATTAGCATTTGATTGTTTTTTGTTTTGTTTTTTTAATATGGTGGTCCGGGGTTTTCATCTTACCGAGAAGAGCGCCGCGCCGTGCTGGGCCTGCTCGACGACCTGGATGGTGGCCTTGTCGCCCACCGAGACATTGGCGTCCTTGGGCATGGGCACCTGGGGGAAGCAGACGGTGCCGGGGTAAGGCCCGTTGCTGGGCCCGAGGAGCTGGAGGACGGGGAGCATCTGGTTGGACATGTCGACGGGCCCGTGGTCGGGGCCGTCGGTGCCGTAGCCAAGGTTGATCTGGATGTTTGCTCGCTCGTGGCCGCGGAACCAGCCGGGCTGGAAGGCGACAGCACCGCCGGTGGTTGGCCAGTACGTGCGGTTCGTCGTCGTCCCGATACCGCCACCTAAGGAAGGGGAAGGTTAGCATGCCGATTGTTTCAAAAGCTAGAGCTGTTTTTTTTTCTGCTTCTTAGGGCCGTTGTTTCTTACATGGGTACATCCATTGCATGCCGTATGGGAATGTGTCATTGGTGATGAGGTTGTTGCCTCGCCATCCGGGATAGCTGATGACAATGTGCGCCGTTGCGAATGCTGCAAACAGCAGGACGAGGAGGGATTTGGATCGCATTTTGGGAGGAGTGGTATAGTAGAGCTGTTTGAAAGTAGAGCTTGTTGTTGCGATGGCCGTCGCAGCCCACGTCAAGGCGATCTCGCGGTTTCACCTGGTAGTGAACAATACGATATGCTGCCAAACCCCTTGCTTCTGGAGGCAAATCCCGCCTTTTGCAGTTTGCTTCCTGACGGGGAAGGGTAAGCAATGACTCCTGGTCCTGGCCTGAGGGAGATCGTGAGGAGTGCCGGCTCTGTATCAGACACACTAGCCGCTTCAGACTGCTGAGGGGGTTAGGTCAGGTCGGTCGGTCAAGCAGCGAGTTGGGAGAAGGGTAAAAGAAGGGTTCGTCCTGGCAGGGCTGAGAGGGTGTTTGGGAAGACGCAGAGTCGTGCAGCCACATGGTAGCCGCCGGCCGCATTCTTTTAAGTGAGCGGCGACCTGCCCACCGGCCCAGCCCAAGACCGAGGTGGCCTGTCATGGTTGCTTCGTCTGACTGGGCAAACGGCCCAACGAGAAGCGCTGGGGAGGCGCCGAGTCCACGCATGTCCCGCTGTGATTCCTTGGGGATGCAGTCTCGGGCGGCCCAGTCACAGGCCAGGATCCCTCGAGTCCAGCCTCCACGTCGCCGGCGCCCACCCCCTCCCCTCGCGGTCGGCCCGTGTGATGTGCCAGAGGGACGTCCAATGGGAGGGGCTGGTGCTCGGGCAGTTGAGCGTGTAAGCGCCCAGATCCCGGTAAGCGTATGCATATTGGGTGGGGGGGTCAGGATGGACTGGGGGAGCTGTCACCAATCGGCATCTCGAGAAGGGTTGCAGATGCAGGTAGCATCGTCCAACCAGATGCGAGAGCAACCCCCGCAGTCTTTTTGCGTGGTAATTGGGGGCTAGACTGGCGTCCATCCAGACGGTCCGTGAGGCAAATCCCAGGTCGAGCTCTGCGGCCTGTCACCAACATGCATTTCGGCACCCTCGAAGCGGTCCAAGCTCGCACCAGCCCAACACTACAAGCGTCGTCGTTTTCACCGTACGATAATTTCTTGATCCGCCCGGATCAGACAGATCGCGCCACAAATCTGTACATCCGGGCGTTACGCTTTAGCGCCCTGCTGTCTGGTGTCACATCTAGCATCATCAGGGTCATCCCCGGCAAAGCCAGTGCCGGCTTACCTATTGTTACACGTAGCAGCCAAAGAAGAAACCATGAGCGAGCGTTCCGGCCGTTGAGAGCCCAGCAAGCACTTCTGAGACACTTGGTTCAAGTAGTATCTGTGATAAGGAGTAGAAGCTGCTTGGAGAATTCCATAATGCTCTAAAATCTATGCCCACGGTCAAGTACATTAGCCGAGTGTTGAATTGATGAGAAGACGCCGGCTTATAGTGGCCCCATTCTTAACAAAGAGCCACAATCGGACATATCTGCACGTCTGAAAGTCCTTCTAGTGTTTGATCGACACACTTCTGTCGCATTGAGTAATCTGTGGGTTTCTCCAAGACATGGCCAAGATGTGAGATGCGGGTTCAAGTTCACTATCCATGGATAATACTTCATATGTTGCTATCATCTAGTAATCTTGGAACCCAAGTATAAAGAAAGGCTCGCACTGATGCGATCAATGTAAAGGGCATATGATTCTCAAGTCACGGGTGTATATGACTAATTGCTGTCCAATAATTATCTGACTGATAAACTGCATATTCAAATTAGTTCCAGGTCTACAAATTCAAGAGCAGCGCCGTGTAAAGCATCAGAATTCGTGCTGCCCTCCTCCTCCTTCGCTCTCTTCCAAAGCTCACCCTTCATAACCCCATGAACGTACGCTTCGCCGACTACTTGTAAGCTTGCTGTCCTTGCTGTGCCTGGATTCTCCCGGATCCTCGTCTTCTTCGACCTCAGCACAAACGGGACCTGCCCGCCAATTATATCCCACACCTCGTCTCTAGTCTTGGTGCCTTCAGCTGAGATCCCAATCAGCCCACGGCGTGTTCTAAATATTTTCCTCCCCGCCATGAAGGTCCACATGGCAATGGTTAATACGCTCATCTGCTGAGTTACGTCAGGGTTTGGTTCGTTCCCGTTTATGGCCCAGAGCCAACGACTCCCGAGAGGAACCTGCATCCTCATACTAAGGCCCACGAGCCTGGAATTCCTGGAGTCAGTGAACCATTTGCCCCCTCCTTCCCCCCCAATTCCGCCTCGGTCGGCAGTAAGCGTTCTCACGAGAGCTTGGATAATTTCTTCTTGGGTCTGCTTGTATGTGTCCAAGGGCGAAAATCCGAGTTTCAAGGGGATCTTATCAAGTTCCTTCCGCAACAGGTTCATTTCACCATTGGCGGACCGGGCAGCTATTTTGTGTGTCTTTCCTTTCAATGTGGCAGTCTCCAGTAGAAGCCTTTTCCCGTCACACACGTGTGCTATGACATCTAGCCTCGCACCTCTCAGCTTCAGGATGTGGGTTTCGGGTCCAAGATCATCTGGGATGTCATTCGGGAAGCTTGCGCCTTCATTGATGTCGTACAGGTGAGTTATGTTGGGCCAGTCGTATCCGTGAAAATAAGCAGCAGGCCGGGAAAGATTCCAATCAGGTACCCAGGAAGGCAAGTTCCGATCCTGCCGGTCTGGCCCGCGAACGCTAGACAGGACCGAGAGGCCCTGTTCTTGGGCTATCATAGCTTTTGCCGTTCGCGCGTACACCTCAGATACAGGGAGGCTGTATGACAAGTGGAGTGGGGGCATGTTTGTTCGGTCGGCCATGCCAAGGACTGAGAAGATTTTGTCGTGCGGGTTTGCAGCTTGCAGCTCACGTGTCAATGGAAGAATGACGGACAGATATGGAGTCTGGTGGCTGGGATTCGCAGCGGCCAGATTTGCGAGAGCTGCTATCGTATCTGCCGACTGGCCGAATACGTTCAGCATTCCCGTGGATGTCAGGTACAAGGCCGCTGAGACGAATATCCGCCAGTGCAGTTGATGTTTTCCACAGATCAGATACGATTCCGGTGAAAGGCATGCTTCCTGGAAAGTCCAGGATCGATGAAACCAGGGGCGACTTGCAAATTTTCGAACCTTTGAGGGATCCTTCATGCTCTTTCTGACAAACTCAGTATCCGGATGCTCATTCTCACTCTCATTTGTTTCAGCCTCGGCCCGATCTCGACGTCGTTCGTCCATCAAAGTCAAAAACGAGAAGACACCCTCAGTATCTTCGTCTGATTCCCCAACCCATATCAAGACACTCGAAGCCCCAGAGAATATCGCTTGCATCAGTGTCACCTGGTGACTCCTCTCGTCTAGATTGTCTTGGTCGATGCAGATACCGTCAATCCAAACCCGCCGGGGATGGTGTTCATCGCGGAGATGCAACAGGAGCTCTCTGGCATTTTGCGTGACCAAAACACCCTTTTCGCCGATCCTTATGACATTTCCACGCTTCGGGCTCCCCCAGACGTAAGAAAGGGCCTCGTAGGGCTTGTCAGGGTTACCAAGCTTGTGTTGCTCAATTTGGCCAGTCAGAGGGCTTCCACTGACACCAGGTTGGATCAACAATGTCCGAATCTCGTCTGATCCAAGAACACCATATTTATAAATACTCTGCCCCTTTGTACTCTTGGTCAATGGAAGCCATCCTAATCGATGTCAGCAGAACGTCCAAATTAGTCACCGCCACGGCTTTATCATACCCTGAAGTCTTCCCACAAGTTCCGAAGCCATCTAAACATTCCACTAGGTCGCAACTCTACCAATTGTGTGGCAAGACAGACCGCAGAGCCTTGAGTGAGGTGGCGGTCCCTACCTATCCTAGATCTTGATGGAATTGATGGGTTGTGTTCCAAAACCAGTCAATATGAGGCATCAGCCGATTGTTCCAGGATTGAGTGAGGACCTGGGCAGTAGGTATCTTGTTGTTGTGAACACCAAACATGCAAAGTGAAAGCAAAACAGGCAACTATTTGCACGGGGGCGGGCATATGAGTGGATTGATATTCAATCAGTCTCACAACGAGGTTGCATTGATGGTTTGCGCCAGGATACCCTCGCATCCAGTAAATTGAGGAACTTGCCTAATTCACGGCTCATACTTCACCAACCAACAGAACCATGGCAAATAACGCTGCCATTTTGAAGAGCCAGCTAGCCGCCTAGGAAAATTACAAAAGTACTGGGTCATCAACAGGGGGGAACCAACGAGTCGACGATCCTGGGTGCAGGTTGCGAGGATGTGCATAAAGTTATTCATAATTCCTCATCGCCTGCATAACTTTGGGTGCAGATGTGCTGAGTGGGTGACTAAGCATTGAACCCGGCCGATAAGATAAGGGCCACCCGCTAGCCGGGTTTCTTTCTTTGACGGAGAGTCGTCGACGGTGTGGTACCATTGCTGGTATTAACATAGGTTTCAATTATTGAATTAATAGATAAATTCAATAAGAAGAGATGCCGTTGGAGAAGACCGAAGCAGACGACGGCTGGACTCATGTCAAGCCCAAGTCCCGCCGTCGTTCTGGAAAGAAACCACCAAAAGCGGTACACACAGTCAAAGAAAATCAAATTCATGCCGTACAGACGGAGAATACTCGATCTCCTGAAGAAATTGCCGCGGAATATCAGCGCATACGCTCTGAATTTGAGGTCACGAAGGCAGGCGAGGAGCTTCATGAACTGATGACCAAGAATGGTCCTGAAGCTGTTTCTCAAGCCGTGTGCCTTGGTATTGGAACTTTCGACCCGCCAGATGGAGGCTGGGAAACGAAGAGACGCACTTTTATCCAGCTCATTGGATTTCTCCTCATGGTTGAGGCCTTGGGTAGGGAACTATCCCTTTCCATCGATATACGGTACTTTTACATACTAACTTTGAGAAATGCAGAGAAGAGGGATAAAACTAAAGTAAAATGCTACTTCCAAGACCCCGTGTTTGGAGAGGCCGATAAAGCTTTCATTGTCTCTCTTGGGCACGAGGTGGTCAATTCCCCAGAGGGTTTCGAGAAGGTGGACGGCAACACGGTTCTCTCGGGAGTGCACCTGTACCGCCCCATCTACGCAAAAGCTCTCGAGAAGTGTCTCCCTGCTGTATTTATAGGCACAGATCTCGATGTGTGGGATACGTGAGTATTTCCTTCTTTTTCTCCCTGGACGTAAACGGCCCGCTAATGATCAAATCAGAGTTACACTGGGGACGATGGATGACTTGGCAATGGCGAAGACCATGGAGGAGACCTACTCAAAGAAGAAACACCCTCAAGATCCGATGAGCACCGCATTTACCAATACTACCATTTACTGGCGGCCTCGACTTGCTATAGCTGCACCATCCACCCCTGAAAAGGAGCCAAGGGAGTCGCAAACTCCAACCGAGACAACAAGCGAGAATGACAAATCTTAACCAGTATATTTCTAGAGTCTAACTCAACATCTTTGACACATCATTACTTCAGTCACGAAAACTCGCAGGGTCAACCTTGCAGAGTCTTCCATCCTCGCGCTCCTTCCATCGTTCATTGCCAACGCAAGGAGAGCACCAGAACACATCCTTGGGATCAACACGACGCTTGATTTCAAGAAGCCGCTTGTAGTTGTCTCCCCAAAAGGTTGTGTAAGGATCCTTCTCATAAGGAGAGGCCTGCCGAATGTTAGCTAGTTCGTCAATTTGCAGTGGAAACTGTCATCTCACTTCATTGATATAAGCTCCGAGACCAGGTGTGAGCTGGCGAAGTGGCTCGAACGAGGCGTCGAGCAACCCCGCAATTTCCTTCTCAGAGGTCCTGTTAAACGGTGTAAAAGGTAGTGCGCTCACTTATCCTAGTGTCAGCATCATCTTCGACGACTGTCACAAACATTGTCGAAAGTGGGGGAGGTTAGGACTTACACGTATGGACGTATGCCTTGCGCCAGCCAGGGTTTACCGAGTTGGAACCTCCTCGTGGAACCGCTTCGTTCACGCCCTTGCCTCCCAGGGGATAGAATGAGATCATCCCTGCAGCCTTTGCGGCAGTGATGAGGGCCTGGGTGATCTCGTCCGACTTGTCCTTCAAGGGTGCTCGATCGATCAGCCTGGACACCATGAGGGCCGTGCCGCCTGTTGTCCCAGAATCATAGTTTACGTCGAACCAATCAAGCCACCTGTTGTACGTCTTTACTCCTTCCGAGTATATGCCTGCCTCGCCCCCAAAGCGTTCCTGGACTGTGGCGTTTATTGGCGCCAGGATTTCATGAACCGCCTCTGGACCCTTGTTGAGGAGTATCAAAGCTCCTGAAAAGCTTGCGATGCCGTCTGGTAGGCCAGGGATTGGCACCGGAAGTCCCAGCGGGTTCAGAAAGCAGTAACCCCTGAGACCGGAGTCGAGCAAATCCGGGACCTTGTTGAGCATGAAGCTAAGGAACTCGTCCCTGCGGGTAGAGTTTGCGGGGATGCCGGCAATGATGTTGATCTGCTGCAATACCGGAGTTGGGTGGGCCTGGATAGTGATGGATGTAATGACTCCGAAAGTTGAGCCTCCTCCCTGTATAGTCAGTTAGCTAGGCTTTTCGATGACAGTATAGAGAGATGTCCGGACTTACACCGCGTAGCGCCCAGAAGAGGTCTGAATGCCGAGCTTCGTTTACAACGAGGATCTTCCCCTTTGGTGTCACCACCTGGATCTCGAGAACGTTGTCTGAAGCAAGTCCATAGTCAGGCGCAAGGACGCCGTGGCCGCCGCCAGTGAAATATCCACCCACTCCCACGCTTTTGGCTCCGCCTCCGACAATGGTGGCGTTGTGCTCGTCGGCAGCCTTGTACAGATCATACATCTGAGCACCACCACCAGCCGTGATGGCGTCGCCTTCGATGATGATATCACTGCCTGTCAGCTTAAACTTGCCGGAGTGAAAAGTGATCGAGTTGAGGTAGTGTGTCCAGATAGACAGACTACCCGGGGCATTGGACCGGCCTAGGAAATCATGGCCAGTGCCTTTGACGACGATTCTGATATTGTTCTCCCGAGCTTTTTTTCGTCTCCATTAGTCATACTACTCTCCAACGTAGATCATCTTTGAAAGAGTGCTCACCAAAATCAACTCCGGCTTTTACATCCTCAGGTGTCGTTGCATTGACCACATACGCAGGATACCCGTTGGTGCTGCAAGGCGCCGCGGGGTCGGGTAAGCACGTCCAGTTGGCCCAGTTGGCGAACATCATGGAGACAGGGTCCCGGCTGTGCCAATCGTACGTCTTCCACTCATCGGGGAGCTTCTTGCATTCTTCCTCATCATAGTTGGGCTGGCCTGGGTGGCAGACACCTGCAGGTGCCAGCGGCTTGATGAGGCGGCCGGACACAGTGGCGTTGAGCCGGTCCCATTGCGACGAGGCAGGCCACTTGTTGGTTCCTGGGTAGGCTTTGCAAGAGTTGGAGGGGGCATGGCCGGCGTGGATGACGGTCGGCGCAAGGCAAAGTGCGAGAAGGTGGTGCGCGAGGGATATCGAACGCATGGTTAATCAGGTTTTTCAGCTGGAGTATTTGATGCGGTCGAGGATTGATGGTGAGAAGTGGTTAACTGCCATTGGGATTGAGATGCAGCTATAATATATATACCCAGAAACATTCTTCGCCCGGTCGTTGCTGGGACACCATCGAAATGTCAGCCAACTCCAAGCGAAGCATGCGATGCGATGTGATGATGCGTCATCGTGGTCCTGCGCCATTGTCGGCACCAACGCCGGGCACTAACGTGAGGATCAGCACGGAGAAGCTCAGGAACGAGGGAAACGAGATGGAAGCGGCCAAAGAAGAACGATGATGCAGCGTGTGGGGAGACCCAAGTTGGGCGATCTCCAGGCGCTGTGGCCAATCACCATCTGGTCTCATCTCGCATTCGTCGTTTCCAAAGATGAACGGACAATAATGTGATACTTGTAGTAATCAGAAGCTATTAGTGTCTGCCTAGCCACTACGAATGGCACTATGGATCCTTGCAGATCCAGTCGCAGCGATCTAAAAGAAAGGCTCAGCCACAAGAATGACAAGGCTAAAGGCTGATGTTCCATTATTCGACCTTTGCCATTGATCTTGAAGATTGGCATAATTTAATTCAGAGAAATACGCCTTTTCTGCGGACCCATGTCCATCACCAGACAGATCCGTAGATGAGATCAGCCAGATTGGGGACAAGTGTATGATTTAAGCCATTTGTTTTATCTTTATCTCGGCGGCTGGCCGTTAACCTTGAACATTATATTCTACTTGGATCAAGTTGAAGGGTATATCGACGATGCTGGTGACAAAATACGGTCCGTTTATATATCAAGGCCTCCCAAAGAACAGTTTTGATGTGAAAAGGGAATCGCTTTGCAGGAAAAGACCCAGCTTGTCCTCGCTTTATAAATGGCCTTGTCCTGCTCTGTCGCAGAGGCCATTGGGAAAATCGCAGGTCTTCATGTTGGCTAGGCGCTGCTTCCAGCCGCTACTCTTCAACCATGGATCAGCTGATTTCCCCTCCGCGCATCGGCTCTGAGTCTTAGGCAGTGAAGCTCCCCTTTCTCTCTCGGTGCAGAAGCACTCGGACTTGCATCTCGCCTGAGTCTGCACTTTCAACTGGCTCCTCGTGCATTCATTTTCTTCATCCCTTCTGCAGCTTGACGCTATCGAACTTCCATCTTGACTTTCTCTTCTAGTTTATTCCTTTGACAAACAACCAGGCTCATATTCGGTGCCGGGAGCACATTATTCTCACAATTAGGGACACTACTCTGCCTTTAGTTTGAACAAAACACACAACACATCTTCCCACATCACTAAACAACAGCGACTTCAAGCTCTTATCCATTATTTAACTGTTGTTTCAATCATTCGCTAGATACTCTGCACTCAAGATGCCGGACAAGCGCCTTCGAGGCTCGACTCAATACTCAAGCCACCCCCCAACGGTCCGAGCTCGAGCCCGTCTGGAGAAGCTGCCCGAGGAGAAACGTCGCTTCGAGCTGGCCAAGAACAGGGAGTACAACTCCATGTGGCAGTCATGCACTCGCATCTCCCGCCGCGAGGAATACCGGCTCGCATCTCTGGAAGGTCGACGAAACATGCTGATTTCAAACCTTCGGGGAGTCATGGATAAACGGTAAGCATCCTTCCCTCACACTGGAGAAAACATCAGATCAGAACCAGTATCAAGATTGTACAGTCTGCTAACCAGGTTCTCTATATCGTCATCACAGTCGCGAGAGTGGCAAATTGATTTGCGGCGTCGACGCAGAAGTCATGGTTAAGCGCCACCTTCGCAAGGAAGCCGCCCTACGTGCCGCCCAGGACGGCTCTAGGCATGTCCCCATCGGCCTCCAAGGGGTTTCCGTCGAAGCCCGGCTTGATCGTCTTGACCAGGAGCCACCGTCCACCTCGGATAACTGGCTTGAATCGGAGGGAGGTCAGAGTCCCAACATGTTTGAGCACCAGCCAGTCCTGGGTGATTATGTGGACGACACGGACGTCACTCAGCTTCACGACCAGCTCGCAGATACGGAGCGAGGCATGCGGGAGTTGATGAGGATCCAGATCCACCTCACTCGCGTGGCCGATCAGACACTCTCCGTTGTCTCGACACTGGCAGAGAGTAACCGCCGTCTGGACGCCAAGCTGGAGTACGTGATCCAGTTCCTCCAGCACACTCCTGGCCCTTCCCGAGTTGCCATGCCCCACCCGTCGACGAGCTTCACTCCTCACAACGTGCCCATGGCCCCGGCGATGCAGCAGCCCATGCACCCTATTCAAGCGGCTCAGCCCGAAGGTTTCCTTCCCATGAACAACTTCGATCCGAAGTCGCTGCCCGAGCAGCAGCAGCCTCGGCAGATGGAGCAGCAAGCCACGCAATATATTCATAATATGGCAAGTATTTAAATTCTCTAGATACTGACTTAGGATGTGGACCCATTCTTATATGAACTTTGCCTCAACTGGCGTCTGGGAGTACTGGCATCAACCAAGCATCTGGCCGGTGCATAGCATTCATTTTGTTGATATTTTTTATTTTCACTGTAAGTATTCAGGGGTTCAGGCCCGGAGAAAAAGTTTGGGAGGTGCGAATCCGGAGATTCGCCCAATTCGTTGCATCATTGAGAAACTACTAAAGTAAGTGGAAGGGAGTCGTCGTTCGGCTCAAGACCTGCTTGCTTGCTTGCTATACAAAGGAACGAGCAATATGACGCTGTCACACTATCCCCCCACCCCCTCCAGCTGACTGCTCCTCGCTGTGACTTGCCCTAGGTTCAACGAATCGGCCCGTGTTATCGCTTCTCTTGATGAGCGATCTCCACGTCCTCCTTCTCACTGGTCCTGACACCGCTTGGGTCAAAGCCTGGGAGCTTCCTGCCTCGGAGCTGCGCCCAAACCGTCTTGACAGTGGATGTAGCAAAGAGCGCGTCCATGTCCTCGAGTGAGACACCTGTGGATAAGATGTTAGCCCCAAGTAATCAAAAGTATGCAGGTGAGCATAGAACGACTTACCCTTTGTTTCCGGCACAAAGAAGAATGCCCAGATACCCATCAACACGACGATGCCCCCGAAGACGAAATACGTTCCATACCCAAGGCCACTGATCATGTAGGGAGTTGATCGTGCAATGATGAAGGACCCGAGCCAAGTGTCCGCCGTGGTGATGGCCACACAGAGCATGCGGATATCCAGAGGGAAGATCTCAGAACAGTAGGTCCAGGTGATTCCCTGCCAGGTAGCGCAGATGATGAAGGCATTGAGGTAGACGCAGGCCATGGCCAGGTATCCCCAGCCCGTCTGCTGTGTGTGACCTGCTGCGGCTGCTCCGGCCGGGTCGGCCCGCAAGACGTATCCGCCAATGTACCACATGGGGATGCAGCCCAAGAAAGCGCCCCACACGAGGCCTTTGCGACGACCAATCCGTTCTACGACAATGAAGGTGAATGTAATCATACCCAAGGTCTTGAAGCAACCATAGAGGCCGGTGGAGAACAGCTTGGTGCTAGTTCCCACGATACCAAGGGTCTCGAAGATTCTTGGGGCATAGTAGGTAATGATATTGACACCAGTGACTGTATTAGATGATTAGCATACATACATCTTGCAATTAAACATGAGTGGAGCTTACAGCTTTGGAGAAGCATGAGGAACATGCCGATACCCATTCGGTTGCGCACGCCAGGTGCAAACAGCTTCTTGAACTGCTGCTTACGGCTGAGTCTCATGGTACTGCGCTGCTCGACCTGCAAGCGGATTTCTGCAATCTCCTGCTGGAGGTAGGTATGGCTTGAGGGAAGGTTCCGGACCTTTATTAGCACATCCTCGGCCTCTTCCCAGCGATCCTGGCGGGCCAGCCAGCGAGGTGACTCGGGACAGAACATGATACCAGAGGCGAGGATGACACCAGGGGCCAACTGCAGGGCCAGGGGGATGGTCCACTGGGCAATGGAGTCGACAGATATGGTCTGGGATGTGGCATAGTTGATCCAAAAGCCCAACATGCCACCTCCCTGGGACGCAATCTCGAAGATACCAATGAGCCGACCTCTGATGGAGGGTGGGGCAGTTTCGGCAATATAGACAGGGACACACATGGAGGTTGAGCCAATACCAAGGCCGGCGATAGCTCGGCCTCCGACGATTAGGTTCATGTTTCCTCTAGCGATACTCATCAAAGTACCACCCAGGAGGAAAACCAGAGCGGCAACGAAGATTGTCTTCTTTCGTCCATATCGCTCCGCGAATGGGAAGGTGAGAAGAGCGCCAAAGAAACAACCCGCCTGGAAGGTGGACACGATGTTACCCTGGATGGTGTCTATCTGTGACTGGGGGATATCGTCGAGTTTGAAGTCTTTCTTGAACGAGTCAAGAGCCATGGTACCACCAATGACGGCGGTATCGTAGCCCACTGTGGATAAGACCATGTCAGCATGATCGACGGGAATTGACCGAGCCATAAGACAGGATGGATGAGATGGAAGCTTCAAACGTACTTGCCAAAGCCGACATGGACGCCACAAGGGCGATCATGTGGATGGTCCAGTTACGGACCTCGGGGGGATCATTTGTCCCAGCAGCATGAGTTTTAAAAAATCCCATATCTCGAATAAAAATATTTGGGGGGTCGTTCTCCTGTGATCAGGAAAGGGCAGTTCAGTCGGTCTGTAAGCGAGTCTCAAAGCCGTTGGAGAGCAGAGTTGATCATCCCAGAAAACAAACGAAAACAGTGCCCTTTTATACTTTGTGTACCGGCAATCCACGAGGTAAATACGGATTACACTCTCGGTCAACTTCCATGACCACCACGTACTCCCCCTCATCAACAAGGGCTTCTGATGTGACGGTATTCTCATCCATCCCCACCTCAGAGAGGAAATGACCTTGTTTCCCCCGCACACACACCTCCACATGGCACAAGGACCCTTGTGAGAGACCAGAATTACAAGGTGCGTATCCTTTTCTAGGCCGGTTTGGGCAGGACAACACACATGAGGCCTCCATTACCCCGTGGGGCCTGCCTGGAGAAAGGCCGGATACTAGAGGTAGACCCGGATAAACAAGAAGGAGAGAGTGGGGGAGTCTCGACGCCAGCCAACTTGTTGAGTAGCGAGTGAAGATCATGGCTGGGGAGGGAGTAGCCTCCCTGGTCTGTCCCACGAGGGACTAGGTGGTTGGTTACGTGGGGAGGAACCATGCTTAAAAGCTAATTATGTGGGAAGAGCAATAGGTCAGGATGTCGCACCGTCAGGATTCACGGGACTCGGGTTAATTTTACTAAGGCAGAGAGCATGCAACGTGCAGTGAATTTTAGAGCACTTGCGTATCATCGCGTCTCTCCTCTTTCTCCGCATTGTTCCCCAGCGAATTAGAAATTATGGCGCATTTTCTTGGCTTTTTATTTCATATTCCTCTTGCATGATACGTGGAAACTCTGTGCTACTCTAGGTTAGGCAGGCCCAACAGCAGGAGGAAGTTGGGGAAATCCGCGTCGGCTCGCCTTACATAAGCCGCCGACAGCGGACTTGTTGCCGACGCGGGGAGTCGTCGCCGTTCTGGGCGCCCGTTGGCCCAAGACGGTTTCCAGGGCGCAGTGGCCGCTAATGGTGCGTCATTCGCCGGGCCTCAGGCGCACACAGGGCTGAATTGCCGCCAATCCCTGGCGCAGGCCAGACACGTCCCGCTGCCAAACCCCCTCCCAGCCCTCTGCAGGCCCGTCCATGCCCGCCCAGCAAAAACCGCCACTTCCGGAATCTGGGAATCTTGGGGCACAAGTCGCAAGTCGGTGCCTGAAATCTCGTGTCAACCTGACCAAACAGGCGCCCGCCAACACACCACCCGGCACCACTAGTTGCGACTTTCGGGCTTACTGCGAGTGTTCAAGGCCTATCTCGTGAGTCATCGTCAAAGTCGATGGTGCCAGACGCTGGTTGATATATCACCGTCGACTTTTTATCTCCTCATCCGCCGAGGTTCTGCATCTCGACTCCTCACTCCCCACACCCACACCATACCACCAATCCCGTTCACCAGCAAGCTGCAAGTGGTTCTACGCTACCGTCCTGCTATACTACCTTTACCATGGCTCAAACGGCAGAGCCTCCTCAGGAGCTCCATTTTGTCCAGTACCATCATAATTTAGAAGCGCAGTATCTTCCGGCCATTAGGGCACTCATTTCAAAAGACCTCAGCGAGCCCTACAGCATCTATGTCTACCGTTATTTCCTTTGCCAATGGGCACATCTCTGCTTCATGGTATGCCGGGCCGTCTAGCCTTCCTCCTCGAGTCCAGTGCTGCTCGTTGCCCGATATTGACTTCCTCATAGGCACTGAGCCCGGTAGATGGTTCGTTGGTAGGAGTTATTATTTGTAAGCTCGAGGTACATGCCGTACACTCCGTCCCAACGCGGCGGGGCTATATTGCCATGCTGGCCGTCGCCTCTCCTTACCGTGGCCGCGGTGTCGCCACGGCGCTAGTCAAGATGGCCATCGATGCCATGGCGGTGCGCAAGGCCGACGAGATCGTCCTCGAGACGGAGGAGGATAATCTCTCTGCCATGAGATTGTATGAGCGGCTGGGGTTTCTTCGGTCGAAAAAGCTACATCGATACTATCTAAACGGCAACAGCGCCTACCGGCTGGTGCTACTCTTAAGATCTATCGACCCGGACTCGGACTCGAGCCCGGGGTTGGGAGAAGAAGGGGCCATCACCGAGTAATCGACCCCCGGAACATCCATTTCGCCATATTATACATCCGTCCCGTTCTGGTCCAGCACCGAATAAAGCGTTGATTTTTTTCCCCGGCATGTGGGAGAGGCAAGGAGTTGGAATCCCACGCTCATCATTTTCACTTTTTGTCCGATTCTTCTTTTGGCATACACAACCAGGCGTCTTGAGGGCTCGCTTGAGCATTGCATATTACACGTACATTATGGTACTTGTTATTTTCTTTATCCCGGATTTTGGATATTTTATGGCAGGTGGCGGGGAGATGAATGATTCTCAGGCATATTATAAACGAATTATGAAGATATGTTCAGCTAGACGATGAAGCTAGATGAGTCTTATACAATATTTTGCCAGGCTTTCAAAATGCTGAAATGTGACTACACTTCTCCTAGTTTGTGATAGACCGAACACAAATGGCCAATCAATCTTGGCAAATATGGGATGGTATTTGAATGAACAGAAGGGGTTTTGAAGAAGTCGATCAGAGGAAGTCCCACAACACTAGCCACAGCACCAGCCATAGAGTAAAGTCCAAGTCGGTATCGGATCCGATGGTCCAATTTCGCCTTTCCACGGGTTGCGCCGGTCTAGGAGCCGAACCGACGCAGTACTTTACTTACAGCAATGAATGCGGTACAATGCCGCGGAACATTGATCCCAACAGAACTCAGCCTAAG